TTAGTTTTTATCATGCTTATACCATTCCATGAATTCCAAGGTTCGTTGGTCCATATCACCAACCCAAACCACCTCCTCCTCCGGTTTAAACTTAGTTTTGGACCTATTTGCATATAACTTGAGCCAATAGCAGAATAATAACACTTCTCAAGCCAAACTTACGTAACTAATTCGGACTCACCCCATGGTGTTTCAACCTAAAGGAATTGCTTCTAAGACCAAAGCCTTTTCGGCTTTAACATCTTCCTATGTTCTTGAAATCCTATATGTTATCGAAGCTTGCAAAGTTACTGAGAAGCTTGCCAAGACCCCGAATGGCAATTTGCCATGACATCGAATTCAATGCTCTCCTCAAAACAACCACTTAGTCCGTAGTCAAACCCACAAAGAGCATGAACATTTTAGGCAACAAATGGGTTTTTAGAACTAAAAAGCATGCAAACGGATAAAGAGAAAAATTCAAAGCCAGAGTTATTGACTAAGGGATATCATCGATAAGAAGGTATTAATTATGGTGAGACTTTTAACTCGGTGGTTAAACCAACAACTATTCGGGTTATTCTTTGTTTAGCAATTTCTTCAAATTAAGTTATCGGATAATTTGATATGCACAATGCCTTCGTGAATGACACTCTAACTCTTGTAGTGTTTATGGCCTAACCAAGTGGACTTTGTGGACCCTTAACATGTTTGCTAACTACACAAATCACTCTACGATTTAAAACGAGTCACCAAGGGCTCGGTTCTTTTGTCTTCATTCATTCCTACTAGATTTGGTTTTAAGGCCTCTAAAACAAACTCCTCTTTATTTATCTATTATGTGGCTTGTAATAAAGTTTTTCTTTTGGTTTATGTAGATGATATCCTTATAACTCGGTTACAATCTTGCTTTTATACAAGCTGTTGTCTTTTTCTTAAATTCCGGGCTTGCCACTAGAGACCTTGGGGACATCAACTTTTTCCTTGGTATTGAAGTAGTTAAGACTTCACATGGCATTCTTTTATCTTAACAAAAATATATCAATGAAGTTCGACCGAGCATGGACTCTGCAATTACCAACCGGTACCTACACCAATGCTAACCACTTTAAAATTGAAAATTACCGATCGTAAGGCCTTTGATGATCCCGATCTATACTGCCAAGTAGTTAGGGGACTTCAGTATATAAATCGACAAGGCCTAATATTTTATTTACTATAAACAAAATCGTCAATTCATGTGCAACCCATCTACGGATCATTAGGTGGTAGTGAAAAGAATACTTCGTTATCTCAAGCTCATTGTTGATCATGGCTTTCACATTCATAAGTCTACCAGTCGACTTCGACAAGCTTTTTAGACTCGGATTAGGCGAGCTTCTTAGATAACAAAAAATCAATAGGTGAGTATATTGTTTATCTTGGGCTTGATCTCATAGCTTAGAAATCATCCAAGTGGAAGACAGTGGCTCGAAGTTCTATCGAGGTTAAGTACAAAGCAATGGATGACCTAGTTGCTGCAACAACTTGGGTCACTTATTTATTGACAAAGTTACAAGTCCAAATCGATACAAGGCCTATTATTTGGCGTGACAATATTAGGGCTATATACCTGCGATAAATCCAATTTTTTTATACATGCACTAAGCATGTTGAAATTGATTTTTACTTTGTCGGAGATATGGTAGCTCGAAGGTGATTGCAAGTAAAATTCATTTTCACATAAGTTATTCTTACAGGATAAACTAATAGTGAAAAAACACCCACGGGTAGCTTCGTGGGGGAGTGTTAAAACAAATCCGTGTTTCGGATAAATCCAAATCAATTTCAATAACCTCGGAGAAATCATAATCATTTACTCGTTATTAGACTCAAATAATAATAGCTAAATATTATCTAATAGAATTCTTTTCTCTTCTTTCAATCATGTAAATCATATCGAATTTATCGCTTATAGAGTTTTGTACAATTTACACATTTAACACTATAAAAGGATAGTTAAAGTCCTACAAGAGATACAATTAGAGAATTCAACTCAAACTCTTTTTCTTTGCTTTAATTTATTTGTTCAAAAAATAATAGTTTAGAGTCCAAATAACTTAAATTGGTAGTAAATGTCTTAAATTGTCATTACTCTAATAGTTTGAAGGTAAACTTTACAATTAAAAAAAATTAAAACATTAATGGTTAATGTTTTGACCATCAAATGTAATAGAGAAATAATAATATTTGTCTAGAAATTAATAATTTAGAATCTAAATTAATAATAAAAATCTTAAATTACTAAAACTTAATAGTTTTAAGGTAATTTTTTTCATTAAACCCGACTAAGACCAAGGACAAAGTACAAGCCAGTCGCTGTAACTTGAATATCAAATTTTTTATTAATTAGGGCAAAAATAGATCATATTAGCGTAATATTTGGCACATCACGGTTGGTCGAAAGAACACATTGCATGCATATAATATGGAATCTTTCGTCATTGTTTGCTTGGCCTTGAAATGATTTTTTTAATGTCTTTTATTTTAGATTTAATTTTATTAGAGCTAAAAGGAATCAGCGTATTATGGATTTTGTTTTGGGATATAGTGCAACTTCTACGTCCCATGACACTAAAGTTGCACATATAGGACAATATTCCGTGAATATGCCATGACTAGAAGGAGTATCGGCCTGCAGAGCATACCTTTTGCATCTCACATATAAAGGAATGAAAATAACTACAGTGGGGATTGTTGTATGATTTTTTTACATCTTTTGATTGATTTTGCGCGTACTAGGGCAGATGCCCCCACGGTGGATGAACGAAACGACATTTAAAATTCTATTTAGGTACAAGTTTACTCCTGCAGAGGGCCTCAGTTAAACGAATCTCTTTTCCTTGCATTATTTGACAAGAATTTTCCTTCATTTTTTTTTTTTTTTTTTAAGTACAAATTGTAGAATTTAAGCTGAGTCTTGCTCTCTTTCCTGCGTATCATTAAACTTTAAACCTAATACTCAAACTTGTGAACTCAACTACCTCCACGGGTGAAATTGCTTCTTTACACCTAGGGACACCAGGTACAAATTCTACTCGCACCATGGGCTCACCGCAAACCAAGAAAATGATAAAAAAAATTAAATGTCCACAACTTATCTTTTTCCTCTTGTGTGTGTGTGTGTGTGTGTGTGTGTGTGTGTGTGTGTGTGTGGGGGGGGGGGGGGGGGGGGGGGGGGTTTATAATTTTTAGATTAAAGTAATTTTTTAATATTTTATTAGACTCTCAACTAAATAGGCAAGAGTTCGAATCTCATTATTTTTATTTTTATTTCAAAATTAAAGAGGTGAACTTTCACTTGATTAAATAATGAATTAAAGGTCCATGATATACTTTTATAATTTTATTTGTTTTAATGGTGTCTCTCTATTAATTTTTTCAATAATCATATCTTTGTATTCTTAATTTATGTCTTAATTTAGTCCCTCCGACCAAATTTTTTGATAACTGTATCAATTTTCAATGATGAGACACATATAATGCCGACACGTAACATTTTTAAAAAAAATTCTGAAAAAATAATTTAAAAACATGAAAAACATAAATAAAAAAATCCCAAAATATCTTTCTCTTTCTTTTTCTCTACCTTTATGTATAGAAATAAATAATTAATTTCATCCCTTAATTTTTTCTTCTCTTGCTTTCTCTTGAATTCAAACCACAAAAGAAAATTTTTTATGAATAGAAAAAAAAAAGCAAAATTTTTTTATTTATTTCAAAAATTTATTATGAAAATTGATTTCAAATCAAAACCAAAAAAGAAAATTTTATGAAATTATTTTCATAACATAACAAGAGCAAAAAAGCGAGAGAAAAAGAAGGGCATTTTGGGATTTTTTTAAAAAGAATTTGAGAGGAAGAAAAAAAATAATCATTGTTAAAATTAAATATTTATTTCTATACATAAAGGTAGAGAAAAAGAAGCACATTTTGGGATTTTTTTTTATTTTTTTCAGATTTTTTTGTGTTTTTTTAATTTTTTTAAATGTCATGTGTCAACATCTTATGCGTCTATTATCAAAAGTTGATGCAATTACTCGAAGGGATAAAATTAAGACGCAAATTAAGAATGAAGGGATGCGATTATTGAAAAAAATTATTAAAGCGACACGATTAAGATAGATAAAATAATAGAGAGATATCTTGAATCTTTAAGCCATTATATATTTAAGCACAAAGTAATGGTAGATTTACAAATTTGAAACTCAAAAAACTTTTTCTTCAAATTAAATAATTAAGCACAAGGTAATAGTGAGTTTGTGCAAGTTTGAAATCCAAAAAACTTTGATTGAAGGAATGTGATAGAGAATAATAAAACTTACTCTTTAAATTAAATAGATAAGCACAATAGGTTTAAAAAATTATTGAGAGCTTTCATTTGAAAAATACAGTATTGGTGAGATTTTTAAATTGAAATGATTTTATGACACCGTACATTGGTATGCTTATGCTTGATTTACCTCTAAGAAAGTAATAACAAAATACATTGACTGAAGGAATAATATTAATGCTCTTAAACCGCTGATAGTATTGAGCATTACCCATCCATGATATTTACCTCCTAGCTTGTGTTTGAAAATTTCATCTAACCTAACAGTATATATAGAGGCACGTCCCCATTTCACAACAGGCTCTACAACCAAACTCTCAATTGAAAGCAACACAGATATCCGAAAACACAACAAATCACAAACACTAAGGTCGATGATGATGGATGCCTGATTACTTGTGCGTCACATCTCAAGTACGTCGGATTAAAGCAGGTAAACGAAAAATCTGGAGAAGTTTCATAAAATGTAAATAAATGTGGCAGTAATAGGATATATATCAAATGAAATCTTCAGTGCGAGAGACATTGATTATTATCAGAAAGAGAGTAATGGAGGATGTGACCCATCTGACCTAAAAGGGTAGTGGAGTTAGAAGGAAGTTGGTGCAGCAAACGCCCCCCAAATCTACACCAATTTTCCCTTCTGTAGCCCACAAGACATTCAACACACGCTTAGATCAAAGGCCTCAAAGGCATTTGTTGAAGCCTTTGTCCTCATTCTCCTTGTTTTATTACAAATTATCTTTGTACATGAATTTTCTTTTTCTATGAAAAGTTCTCAATTTGAGTCACTAAAGCAATGATTAGGTACACGTACAGCCAGTAGCACAAGCCACTATTTTAAATATTGGCTGTCTGCATGAACCACCAACCAGTCCAGACTAATTTAAAGAACGCGTATTAATATGGATTGAGATATTTTTATGGTTTTTTTTTTTTTTTTAAGAAAATATGACTATCATGTTTCTTAAATCAAAATCATTAACTTCAAATTTGTTGTCATATGCTAATCGAAAATGTTTCTATACTGTAAGAACGTGTATGTCAAGGTGGTATATATTTTGGCATCAAAATGGGTGGAGCAGGAAGGCTTCAGAAATTCTGTGGCAATACTTCGTATATGGCTTAAAATATATCATAGATAAGCCAATTGATGGCGGCCTTCTAGATCCAGGGTACTTTCGAGATTCGTTAAACTTGGCTCTTACTTGCTGAAGAATGGTGCTCCCCTTTCTTTAAGCTAGCTCCTTTCAAACCTAAACTCTTAATTAATTTGTCATCTTAATTCAGTGTCAATATCAATTGCCAACTGCTGAGAGTGACCACTTTTCCCATTAAACAAGCCTTGCCCTTCTTCCTCCTCATAAGCTGTAAAAACCCATTTTCCTCCTCACGTTAGTTAGTAAGCGGTCATACGCTTGTAGAACACTAAATTTTGGAACCAAGTCTCCTTGTCTGGTGGTCCATATAATTTGAACAGAACAATGTGTGATGTCAGACCAAGCTTTCTTTCCTTTAAAGAGTAAGCTAAACAAACTGATTTTCTTGCTTCGATGGGTTTCCAACAAACACCTCTAGAACTCAAGATCCTTGGCCATCTACTAATTCGCCTCCATGTCATGTACATCCCTTGTCTCCAAGCCAATATCTTGCAGAAAAGATACCATGCCTGGATCAGGCACTGATTTTTAACCCATTATAACCTTTATTTTCCTTTTCCTGATCTATTTTGAATATTTTTAGATAGCAGACATGAGTAATGTATGAACTCAAGACTAAATTATTTGTCAGGAAGGTGGGGACTGATAATTACCCGTTCCAAGAGTAACTTGTGCAGAGCAATTCTCGTGGGTCACCTAACCATGACTATGAAAGCTAAAAGAAATTGTAAGAAAATTTGGTTGACTTAATTTAGCCCACGAAAATAACTAGGTTCAACTCCTTCCAATCCTGCCTAAAATTTCTCCAGATAGGCTGGACTCCACTACAAAACTAATGAGGAAACGATAGTCTATTTGTTCGTATGAGAGCACGTACATACAGATTTCCAAGTAAAGATAGACAAACAAAAATTGAAGTGAACTTTTTTTTCTTTAAAATGGAAGTTAGTTACTTTGATGAATGATAATGGTATCTCGTTGCTGTTTTTTACTTTGTCAACTCTAATTGTCGTTTTTCTTCCATGAAAATCCAGAGTTCATGCGAACGAACTGAGGGTTAGCTAAACTTTGTTTGCACAGCACCAAAATTCTTTAAGCATCCAGTAAGACCAAAATTAATAAACAAGTTCAAGAAGGTTTATATCCTATCAAGGATAATTGAACAAAAAATGCATCGAAAACATGTGAATCAATGGCGTAACAAAAATCAGACAGAACAGAGCTACATTCCAAATGCAAGTATTAGAAACAGTACGAAGGAAATTAAAATAGCTAGAAGATAGTTTCTCAATATATTTGTTATTACCAGTTCAGTGGCAGGTAAATGCTCAAATGTTGCTTGGTCCTTCAATTAACTGAGGCTATGATCATGGCCCCCATTACCATATCCTGAGAAAAACATTAAAGCATTAAAGACAATTCAGTCATGTTGAGCTAGTAGATTTATTATTATTATTATTATTGTCTTACTGACATGAAAACCCTCCGCAGAATTCTTGAAACAACAATATTCTTCAGTAATTTGTTTTTTTTTAAAAAAAAAGAGAGCAAAACAAAAATTTGGTGATCAAATTTCTTCAGTTTCCATTAAGAAATGCAAATTGCATTACTAGAATCCTCTTCAAATGTTTTGCATATTTTTTAATCATGTAACAGTTCTTGGTATTGGCTATTTCTCAACTGTTATACCAACCACATATTGAAAAGTACATGAAATTCATGCAAAGTGCATAGAAGGCAAGGTGAATTCAGCACTTCAGCTCGAACTGTTATTTAAAATGTTGCGAACATTTGAATCTTACTCTTAAATGGTTTACCATACGCTTACGCTTCTTACATTGTTTCAACTTGACATCACACAAACAACTCCGGGTGGGGTGCGTGTGTTTTTATGATACAGAGCAAGGAAAGAGGGAAAGGAAAAAGGAAATTTTGCTAGCCGAATTCAAGGTTAATCAACTTTATTGGTTCTAATGAGAAAGGAATGGCAATGAAGATGACCAAACACATTTAGAACACGAGACTCCATCTGTGGCATGACATAGGAAAAATGCATCCCTGGTGTGTTTTTATGAAATATAAAGAAAACAGATACATACACTTTTGAAAGGTTATTTTTAAGTGATGGCATCGCCTTACGCCAATCAATTTATCTTATTAATGGGTCGATTGTCATATGAGTAGAGATAAATATCTCAGGAGCAGCAGACCGTTTCACCTCGCAACAACCATAATTCTCCTGTGTTTTGATCCCACCTCCCCTACCCTAACCCGCCAATATCTATACATACACACAAAAATTTCTTAATCTGATTTCTAATTCTATTAGGAGCTTTATTTGAATACAAATGACATTGGTACTGTACCCGTACGTTGTTAAATTACCATTATTCAAGTTTCCTGCTATAACATCATCATGCAAGCAAATTTAATATCCCCAGAATAATTATATCTATGGTTTTCTCTCAGGCACATAGGCTTTGTATGCACATTAGCATAAGCAGGTACTACAAACGGGCTTTGAGAACAGAAAACTAAAGCATAACCTGGATTATATCTAACTGAGATCTAAGCAAAGATCGGATGACATCAGAGAACGAAGATTTAACTTTATCAAGCAGATAAAAAATTTATAGACCAACTGATCCGTCCTAAGTCATGTTCGAGTTTAAATGTATCCCTTTTCAAAGTCAAACCTATAAAAGTTCAATATCTAGTTAAATGAGAAAAATCTACAAGATAATTATAGTTAGCTGCACGCAAATGTGTAAGCAAAATATGTTAAAGAAAGTAGACACAGAGTCCAGAAATCTCCCAAGTAATATTTTTACCGCTAAAAATGGAAATTAGCATTCCACATTTCCTCTCACGGCAGCATTTGCCATTTCCCTTTTAATTTAAGAATGATCGACTAATTCTGGCACAAAATTTTTAGATATAAGTTCAACTGATCATTTGCTAAAAGAGAATCAGCATTTCCCTCCAATCCTGAACAGGGAGATTTTTTTTTGTTTAATTTTCAAACATTTAAGTTAATATACATCCTTACCTTTGGGTGCATCTTAGATTAATTAAGAAGTCAAATTTCTTCTTTTCATTATGTTGAATGCACTGACAAACTTTCACGCAGGGTATTGTTTTTAACTTTTTCAAAAATAAAATAAAAATAAATAAATAATAATAAAAGATTTTCACCTTATAATATTTGATCAAAGTATATATCCATAAAGAACCAGCAAATTGCTGATAACATACCCCCAGTTGTTTAATAAATTTAAGAAATTTGACAACAATGTTAGCATATATATATAAACTACTCATTACATTTCAATTATTGAAAGCCATGATGCATATTAACTACTAATAGCGCTAGCAATTATAATTGCTTAAGCAAAAATCATACCGACATTTTCAGGAAACTCAAATAGTTGACTATCATCTTTAAAGACAGATAATCTGAGTACTGCTCTGGTACTTTGACATTTTTCCCCCAACTATATATATTCGATAAAAGCAAGCAAAGTTCAGCAATTTCCCAGAAAATTCACTCTGAATTCTTTACCATTTACCTGGGCCCCAAATATCTATCCCAGCCCATAATATTGACTCCAGATATACTGATATTAACCAACGCAAAGGGGATCTTAAATTAACCACAGCTACAAAGCAGTTCTTATAAGCGAAACAACAATTAGAACATCTAGCTAATTGTAAGTCATTGGGTTTTGGGTCCCTCTTACGGTTACATAACAGAGAGCAGGTTTTGTAGGCTGGACTGCCTTAAAAGTGGAATGTGGGTGTATGGATATGTACCTCATCTAAACCAATCTAGCCCATGTCCAAGAACTTGACCTACTCTCTAAAGTGGGAAAAAGGCAAGAAAATGGAATGGAAAAAATCGTCTCAGGCATGCAACAAATTCCATTTTATTTCCAAATTGAAAAGAAAATACAGAGTGACAGAAATCAGTCAAAAGGATCCAAAATAAGAGAAATTGAAAGAAGGGAGAACTAATCAACCACAAGGAAATCGGAGGGAACTTGATTATCATACCGCAAGCAACTTAGCTTGACCCTAAAACATGCATTAATTAAAATCAAAAGATAAATCCAGAATATAAATCACCGAATCATTTTCTCTTGCAATCCAAATCACATGAAATTGAACACAAGAAATAATAAAAGTAAAAAAAAAAAAAATCCTCAATTCCACGTATATATAAGTAAGGATATTCATCCAGATCAAATTGAGAGAAGTAAGCAAACGTTAAACTTACTGGTAATTAGCTGTTTCAGATACTTACATGATTCACATTTTGGTTTTGCCTTCAATGGTAGAATTACAGAATGCCTAATCGATTCAAGCTTCGAGAGATCCGAAGCATTGAACTCACATGACCAGAATCTATCTTAAGCCCTAATTTGCTCTTTGCCGCCTTGTTATTTCCTTGTTTCAAATCCAAAACAAAACTGTGAAAAGACGTCGTTTCAGCTCCTGCCCAATCAATGGTTTGCGAGGAATTATCGGGCACTTCCATAGAGTACTTAACAAGACATTTGTGCTTTGCAGTACTGCAATACTTTTTGAGTAGTTGCTCCGACGTCGTTACATGTCCCGCAAATCTGAAAGCTTGAATCGGATCCAACCCAATACGAACCAAATAAAGTCCAGTACTGCAAGATTGAAATAGGCCTACGTTTTCAAGAGAACCTCGAGCTCCATCATTTAATCACCTACAGGTAGTCACCTGCCAACATTAAATTAAGGTAACGTGGCATTTAAAACACTACAAGTACCTAACTAACTTCTTCAAGTTATAAATAAATCAATCTTCAAGTTCTCCTGAGTCACAAGTCACCATGCTGTAGCCATTATTTTTACTTGCCTTATCTTAGTCTCTGCATATGATCGATGGCTAATGACGCAGCTCTAAGGACCTTGCTGGTGTGGTTGGCTGCTGTTATGGTGGTAGTAGGGATATGGACACTGTCTTTCAAGAAAGTGATTGTAACTTATGTAGTGGGTGTGCTCGGGATTGCTGGTGTGATTTTACCTGATTGGGATTATTTTGATAGAGATTACTCCAGGTGGTTTTCCCCTGTTAGTGAACAAGATAAGCTGGCTCTTGCTCAAAGATCTGGCTTCAGGTTGGTTAATTTATTTCTTGCTTGATTGATTAATTCTTTAATTTTTTACTTAATTAACTTGCAGATGGTGGCTGATAATTCAGCTTAATTAGTTCAATGGAGGTACTGAAGCACTAAGTTGCGATTCTAGAATTTTAGATTAAAAAGAAATTAAGACAGTACTAATGCTTTGTTTCTTGATAATATTGATAAATTAATCCTTTCATCTAGTTCAAATCTAAGTTCGATTAGACCATGTGTTGGATTATTTTTTAATAAAATATAGAATACTATACTTATTATTATTAAATAACAATAATAATAAAGTATCCAGTGCATGATTAATGAGGTATATTAAAATGTTATGGTTATAATACCTATATTTATTTTAATAAATTAACAAACGAGTTATATCATTTATAAAAGTTTTTTATCATTTTTATAATAATTAATTGCACTTAATGATTGCAATCATTTCTTCTCACATGGTTTTATTGCTATAGCCTAAATATAGGATCTTTCCCTTATGTTATGTGTACGAGAATAAAAAGAAAAAAATATATAACAACATTCCTATTCTCTTGTTTATAGAAAAGAAGAGCAACATTCTTTTTTAAAGAAAAATATTTCTATATTTTTTTTAATTTTCTTTTTTTATTTTAATAAAATCATATAATGTTTATTTGTTTTATCTTTGGGTAAGAATGGTACTATCATTTTTAAAGTTTCAAGTTTTGCAAATAATGCAAATTTGTTAAGACACGACAAGATGGTCGAGCTTGTTGTATCATGTTTACAAAAAGAATGTTGCTCTTCTTTTCAATAAGAATGCTTTTATAAATATTTGTTAATGAGCTTATTTTTACAAATTTGCCGTGGTTAATGAGCCCTATAAATAGGACCTTATATTTTTACTAAATGTAGTTTCTCTTATTTTAACAAGTTCAACCACCTTATCGTATCTTAACAAATTTACATTATTTGTAAGACTTGAAACTCTAAAAATAATAGTACTACTCTAAAAATAAGTATTATATGATTTTATAGTGGAATATTAAAAAACAAGAAAATCGAAAAAAATGTTTTTCGCTATAGCAATAAAACCGTTTGGGAAGAAATAATTACAATCATTAAGTGCAATTAATTATTGCAAAAATGGTAAAAAAAACTTCTTTTATAGATGATGTAACCATTTGTTAATTTATTAAAATAAATATAGCTGTTACAACCATAACATTTTAATGTACCTTATTAACCATACTTTATTATTGTTGTTATTTAATAATAATAAGTATAGTATTCTATATTTTATTAAAAAAATAATCCAACAATCTCCCACTTATTTTTTAATAAAATATTAGCCATATATATTTTTTAAATAAATAATACAATAAATGTAGTTTTTTTATATTTTACTAAAAAAAATTCCAACACCATGTGTGCAAGCTCTGAGTAACGTGTGCATCCCTGACTGTTATCTGTTGGTAGTGTTTAAATCAGACATTTATGCATGCTTTTCTCTTCCTGTACATCTATAAGTACTTGAGTAAGGTTGGACAAATTACGTATCATGATGGCTTGGAGACTGGCTACAAATATGACATTAGGCTAATTGGTGAGAAGAAAAAAGATGCTTTTGTTGAATGATATTTGTAATGGAATTTAATCTCTGTGCAGGAATAGGATATTTCCTCTCAGATTAGTTGGTTACACCACTATCTATAGTTATGCTTTGTACAAGTGGTGGATGTTCATATCCAAGTGAAGGACTTCTGCACAAGTTCGGAAGGGGTTTGTGGGCTAGTTTCTTAATTAGGCTGTAGGTTTTGGTGCTTCAAATGAAAATTTGAAAAACTGTGAATTTTGTGTTTTTTAGAGTCTACAAATGATATGTTTTTTGCTGTTGAAGATTTCTCATGGTCACTAAAAAAATGTTAACAATTGATCATGTGTAATTCTTGCCCCATTATTCGTCATTGTGGAATCTGTTAGTTGACCAAAATAATGTAGCTATTTCGACCAAGGGTCCTGAAACCCTCGTTGCAACATCAGTAGTAATACTCCTATGTTGTAATTCCCTGATATTTATGTGTAATCCATGTTAAAGCTAGCAAAACTGGAAACTCTAGAATGAATGAAAAAACATCAGCATTTCTATTGAAAATCAAACGTGCAAAGAAGAGAAAGTAGCCTCCTAAAAATTATATATAGCGTAGTTTAGATTCATGTATCCTTCAGTGGATTTCGGCTGGCTTTCCTTTATGAATAGGAAACAGATTCGGCCTCATCTGAGGTTAGGGTTACTGCTGGTCCTCCTGCCATGGGTTCATTCATAGTCTTGTGGCCTAATATTTAATACCAAAAAACTATTGGTGAAAAGAAATTTTCTCCCTTTTGAAAAGAAACTATTTAGCTAAAAGTATGCATAATTTTTGGATTCCAACGAGCATCCTTAAAGTAACTTCCATTTACCAAGACAATTATTATTATTATTATTATTATTATTATAACTTTTTTTAGCTCCTAAAAATTTGAAAAGTAAATTTTTTAGCTAAAAAGTAGGGTGGAGAGAAGGAGATGATTACGTGGGATAAGTCAATTCTAAGAATATTATGAATATTCATAGGCAACAAGGGCTGGCGCAACTCTTCTTCTCCTTCTTATTTCCCACGGTCCAGGCGCAACTGTGCAATCCTTTTTATTTTTTATTTATATAAAATACTAATGTGCAACCCAATTCTTGAATGTCCTGGAGACTTAATTAAAAAGCCCAAGTATGCAAACAGAACTGAACTGGCCTACTTTTAAGTTGGTCCAAAATTAGCATATAACCAGGCTTAGGGTTTAGCTTTCAGACTACCTGAATTACCCTAGCTAGTCCTTAACTAAGCGAGGCCGTTTTCGACCTTTTCGAAACAAATCTTCTTCCTTCTTCCAACACCACGCCAAACGCCAATTTGCCCCCTCACCCCTGTGCTGTGTTTCTGGCTTGCTGCTATTGTTCAGACTAGAGAGACAGGGAGAGATCCGACATGAGGCTATTTACTCACAATATGCTATCCTCCAATATCAAGGGAGTTGCCAACGGCTTCCCTCTACGAATCGAGGTAGAGCAAGTGCTCGAAAAGCAAGTGGACTTCAACCCCGATTTCCTCAAAAACTTGTTCCCAAAGCTCGAGTGGAAAGCCCTTGTCGACGCGGCACGAACCATGGGCTACGCCGAGCTTCCGGAGGAGGCCGATTCATTGATGCTCGAGTCTGAGGAATTCTTAAGGAAATTTCACCACGCGCTTTTGGAGCTTCATCTCGAAGAAGGGGCTTTGGTTTGTCCTGAGACTGGAAGAAAGTTTCCGGTTAATAAAGGGATTCCTAATATGCTTCTTCATGAAGATGAGGTTTGAGATGTTTGTTTGTTTCTTCGGATTAGGTTTTTTTGGGGGTGGGTGGTTGTTTGGGGTTTTGTTTAGATACTGTCATTTTGAGTGTGTGGAGTTATGAAAAATTGTGGATGAAAAAATTGCATTTGCTTCAATGATTCTTATTGTGTCCTATCATCATCTATTTGATTTGAAGTGAATCCTAGACTTGAATTTCAGTTCTCCATTGCCAAATGTCTTAAAGATGCCTACACTTCCTGATTGTATTAAGCAGTATTTAAATGCAATGGTCATTTTCATCTTTTGCACTGGAAACAAGTCTACAATTGCCTGGGTCGCTTAGTTAAGAATATTGGTGCATATGACTCTTAAACCTTTAAATTTTTTTATTTAGGTTCCAGATTTGGCCTGTAATCAAGTCTTATGTCCAACCATATGTGAGAGATACGGGAAAGTAGACTAGTGAAATCCAATTCATAAACACAAGCAAAAGTTATGTAAGCCAATACTCCTCCCTAAAAAACAAGATGCAGCTGCCAAAAGCAAGCAAGCCAACCTCCAACAGGAACACACTTGTAAAATAGCATTAAAATAGCATCAGAGTAAAACTGGCAAGACAAAGCGGCAGCCAGAGTAACATGATACTCGTAAGAATGATTACAAGTCCTCTTGCAACTTGAAGCAAAGTATCAATCCAAATAACCCAAGAAACATGATACTCATGAGAGGGATAACAAGTCCTCCAGCAACTTGAAGCAAGGTATCAATCCAAACAACCCAAGCAACCGAACAAAAAAGTGAGTCAAATAACCTCAACTCAATAAACTTGCAAATTACCTACTTCAAGCATGCATTCAAATTCCAATGCATAACCAGTATAAACCCACCCCTAATATACCTGATACACCATACTTTGAAACAAAATAAGTAAAATACCCGATACACCATGCCTTGAAACAAAACGAGTAACCTACAAAAGAAATAAAAATTAGAGAAGAAACCACCATCCCCACATCTAAAACCCAATAAGACCTATATAATGATTAAAGAACTCGAATATGAAATCATGTTACACATCTAAAACTCAATAAGACCCATTTAAAGATAAATAAAAAATTATATTGAATAAAACCTATATAAGAGACAAAAGAACTCGAAATAAAGCTATGTTCCAAATCTAAAACTCAATTAAGATTCATATAAAAATAAAAGAATTCGAATATAAAAACATGTTAAATACAAAAACAACACACGAGCATATTGATCCCTTGTATTTAACATTTCCAATCTCTCTCACTATTTGCTTTTTAAATTTTGGAATCATAATCTCATTTCTGCTTCTTAGAGAAACCTAAGCAATCACCAACTTTCCAAATACAAAAACTTTCATTTCCACATAATTTAAACGGCTTAGATCAACCTCATCACACCAATCCGCTTCAGTTTCCCCACACAATTCTAACATTCGAAGCAGCAATATCTGAATCGACAAGAGACAGATTTATCACTCACAACCTCACTCAAAGTCGTCACCCTTCTGATCTTTTTTTCCCCCTTTGACATACAAAATTCCCATACAAGTGTGAAACACTCAATTTAGAGATTTTGATTTTAATTTGAATTTAAATTTAAAACCTTTTTGGTCATTTAATTTTTAAAATGGATGTGTATCAATTTTACGTTTGAAAATCTCTTCCAAAACACATCTTATCGTTGTTTTATTAGAACACATGACTCTCGTATGTGAAACATTTTGCTTGAGATTGGTCAACATAACAAAAATAAAATAAAAAATTTAATTACTAACCAAAAAATAGGTTCATGAGGATTGAATTTTTTCATTTTTTTATTTTTTGTTGACTAGACAACTAAAACGATATTACTCTATTCAGCACACTCAAATTTGAAATCGGCCCAATCTAACAAGCATTGTTGCTTTTCTCGGTGTACTTACATGGTACAGAGTCTACAGACAATTCTTGCCCCTTTTCGAAAGTGTTTTTTTTTTTTTTCCAATGGTACAAACAATTACTTCTATAGGTAAGTTCAACTGTAAAGATTGTTCAATCTAATTAGACCGCAAGGTCTGTCAGCTTGCTTTCAACGGGTGATGGGGTTTCACCAGGTGGAGGCGGCACGCCAAACACCCAATCAAGAACATTAAGGTACTTGGACCGGAACACTTCCCTCTCCTGCTCATAGCAATACATTATTATAGCTGTCGAGATGCTGAAAATCACCACATCAGCTCTCTTCAGATTCTTGGACTGCGGCAAATATCCTGAATCTCCCATGCAGGAAAAGAAGCTTTCAATTGCCCGTGCAAGACAATAAAGCGATATTTCAATTCGCCTGCTTTTCTTCTCAATAGCTAGGGCCAGGCCAGTTGGAAACTGTACAGGTTCACAATCGATATTTCAAAACAAAACATCTTATATATCTACCTGCTTAGAATAAATATTTGAAGAAGTCCTGTACCGTCCCCATTGCCACCATTGGAATGGTACACCTTCTGAAAATTCTAAAGAGCAGGCACGTCCACATCCTGAAGACCAAAAAAGAAAAATAGTTACAGAAGTTAGTTTGTCTCGACAAACGGCTAGAAAAAGGGTTACTGGGATAAAAATCAATGAATGCTTATCAGAATGACAAATTTCCCACAGAATTTACCACTGAACACCAACAATTTCACCCTAACAATGTTCCCAATATGAAATCTGGTTTCCCCCCTCTATTTAGCTGTCAGACTTCATTTTGTTTTGTGCATGATGTTTAAATATGTGTAGTATTTGTTCCCGTGTCTCCTAATTCTGTTACAATGCAGTGCAAGAATAGTAGCAGAAGCATTCCAATAAAGTTCAGATCAAGGACCAAAAGCTTGAACTGTGTCACAAGGCAGTTTGGTTGCATAGTCTAATTTTCAATCGTGCTACATAGACACCGTATATACTTCATCATACTGCTATCAACATCTCTAAGAGGCCAACCATAGATACTTTTCATTGTAGGTGTGGTAGCCACCACACTACCAAACACGCAATAACTGCCCATGAAACACTCTGCATCTCTAGGTGTGATTTTAATGCACCATGACCAAGTTACTTGATAGTCAATAGTAATTGGAGGTGCCAGCTGTTTTCTTAAAGCTAAGATGGAACGCCAAACTGAAAAAGTTCAAAAGGCAACAAGATCAACATACCACAGCAACATGTAATACAATAGAGGAATGGGAACTAACCAGGCAGATGAACAATATACAGATAGAAACAAGCTTGATCTTGCAGTACCAAGAAGACCCTTCCCAAATATGTTGTAAGGCCTGCACAAGGACAGATAGAAACATCTGAGCCAATAAATGGTACAAGGAGAAACCCCATGCGGTGAGCTATACAACATTAACTCATTATTAAAAGTCCACTATTTATTTGGATAAGTCTAATGTCATGAAACGATTAGGAAGGTGCACCCGTTGTTTTAAAACAGAGCAAATGGTTTTTTGCCACTGGCCAGGCAGGTTATTTAGTAAGGGTCCGCTGGTAATGATGGAACATGCACTTCTATTTGTGCAGAGTTGCGGGCAGTCAAATGGGAAATTAAAATTGCACGGCCAATGGGGTGTTGTGATCTCATGTTAGAGCCTAGAGGTGGAATCTAAGTCATTGATTGACTTAATCAAGAAAGAAGGGAATAAGGTAAATATTAACAGCCCTATCATCCATTAAATTTGAATGCTCATTAGCAAAGAGTGGGTGGTACATGTTCTTCACTTCTATAGAAAAGGCAACAAATGTGCTGATTGGCTAGCCAATCATATTGATCTGAGCACTCAAAGGGTTAGTCCAGTTTCACATTCCTCCTAGTGGCCTTTACAGCCTCCTCCCTAAATATGTGTGCGGCTTAGCTACAACCAGCCTGCTTGTCTTAGTTGTCTTTGTTTCGAGCTGTTAGGCCCCTTTTGCAATGCAAAAGAAAAAAAAAAAAAAAAAAAGATGACTGAAAATGCAATCAACCAATGAAATACTAGGTTGTCGCATTGACCATCTAGACATTCCAGGCTAAGGAAATCAGAACTGAAAAGGTCACTCAAGTAAAGGCCGAAAAAGTATATGGTAAGAAACATATTATTGCTCAAATTCTCTTATTCTGATGTTCTCAAGCCAGCTGGATTCAAATACGAGGTAATATTTTTTGTTAACACTGCCAATCATTTAAAAGCATTGTGAAAATTTATACAGTACCAGTCAACCCGCCTATCTATGAAACCTGCCTGGCACTTTAGTACCCATTGTATGGCCTATTGGACAGTAAAATTCAGACATCCGTCAGCAGAACATACGGTGATAGTAAATGAAGTAAATTTAATGACACGTTCAATTATCTATTTTCAAACTTTGAATATCAAGCACAATGATAAATAAACTCATTTCCACAATGTAATTAATGATCTCAACCAAGCAATAATGAGTGCATGACTTCATTCAGCAAGAAAATGAAAATTCACATTATCATGATTAACATATCTACTTGACTAGTCATTACCTTTTCAGGAGGCCTTGTCGATGAACTATAAGTGCTGGGATCAAATATACAGGAAGATATACTGGTAATGCTCTTTTATATGCTTGAATAAAAAAAGAAACAACATGTGCACTGCATGACTGATTTCCATGTATCATCTGCACAGAAATTTCAAAGAACAAGTACAGTCCTCCAAAATACATAATTATGTTTAATTAACACGAATAGAAAATGATATGCTCATACACAAACAGCAACTACATAGTAAATGATGAATGTTTTAAGCATCAAATTTCTTGGCAAATACCACAAATGATGATAACATACCATGCAGGGGATTTTCATTTCTGGGTCTAGCTTAATATCAACCCCTGTGGAGTTGTAATATTTCTCTATAGCCTCCAAATTTGTGAAAGGCAAGCCGCTTGCAATGTCTTTCACGCCTTGCAAGATAGAAAGATCCTTTCCACCATGCTTATTGAGAAAGGACTTGTATGACGGAGACAAACTATCTTGCTTTAATATGTAAGCAGACCTGGAAAATGGATATTCTACTTAAACTATCTCTGACACCTTGCAAGATGGAAAGTTGTTGAAGTATAATTGCATAAAGAAAAGATAGGCTATCATACTGTTACATATTATGATTAACCATTTGGCGATGACTTCACCAAAAATAGTGAAAACTTGAGAAAAACTTTATTCGTTCTTTTAGTGTTAATCATTCATAATGCCTTACCGAGGCTGAACACAAGAAACTAGAATTCCACAAAGCAAACAATTTGTATAGAACAAAAGCAACAAGTTATCAGTAATTCCAAAACCATGAACTGCAATATTCAAACTGATAACTAACTTGCTTCAGAAGAAAGGGGTAACATACAAAATTTGAGAAGACGAGAGACACATGAGGAAAACGTCTCCATGCTTCCAAGTAAGAGGTTTACAAATTTTCCCAAATCGTTTGCTCTTAATCCCACACCGTGACGCTAACACCGCAGCACGCATAAGTATGTATATGGCCAAGCTAGTATGCTGCGTGCTTGGCCCCGTAAGAAGCATAGATGGCCCAGCAATTAATCCTGCCACTATAGCCCTCCATTTCGCAGTCCTAAAATTACAAACAAAATTTTACCAATCAACCTCCAACTCACACAGTTCATAAACGAACCATCACCAATTCATTGAAAGAACACAGAAAGTAAGTATACTTACCGACGGTGGCCTCCAAAATATGCAATAATTTCATCAACAGAAACAAATGTACCAGCAAAAGTACCAAGGAAAAGCCCGTATCTTAGCGTTTCCTTGATAGCTAAATCAGTAGCTTCCCTGGTAGAAAACACCTCAACTTTCCTAAACAAATCCAAAAGAAAACAAGAAATTAGATCAAAAACTAACAAAATAAAATAAATAATAAAAGGCATGACTAGCTAAGTAAGAAACTTATTCACCTAACGGAAGATGACCTGGTGCGCCGCAACCTAGCGACAATTGAAAACAAAGCGAGGCCTCCTTTAATACCGGCTCCAATTGAGAAACCTTTAACTGAGGCAGTAACAATTCGCGTTAGTTTCTCTGAGTCCTCAAACGGATTTAAACCAAATCCTAATAAATAAGAAGAACGCCACAAAGAAGGCTCCGATTCCGAACAATGTGTTTTTATATTGCCGCCATGGAAGCCACCATTTTCGGCGACGCAGGTTTTATCTTTGGTGGCTCCGTCGCCGGATGGCGACATGAATAATTTTAGGGTTTGATGCCAGGTAGAGAAGGAAAGATAGTATCTTATTGGTGGAAGAGAGGAGGCTTGGGGGGAATCGTTTTTGAAAGAGAGAGGAAAAGCTGAGCAAGTGCTTCGCAATTATCGATCAGCTAGTGCATCGGTTACCTTACACGTGCGGGGTTGTTTTTGTCAGGTCAGTGGACCCTTTTTACAGGAGGACTGGTACTTTAATGTTTTCGAGAGGAATGATGGGTGGGACGGAGTTGTATTTATTGAAGATGATGGTTACTTGTATTTCGTTACCCATTTTGGTGATGGTCCGAGGTGACTTGTGCGAATATTAACTGCTTTTTCATGTTAATATATTTTGTTACAAGAAATGCTAATTTTATTATAATAATAATAATTGAGGAACATTAACCTTCGTTTGTAAACTGTATGGAAGGTAAATATTAATATTTTCTATTCTTTTATTTAATTATTAATCAAAATTTAATTAATCTAATACCAATATTAAATAAATGCTTATTATGTTACACACGTATTAATAAGTGGGATGACACATTAGCAACTTCATTCATGGTACCCCTTGCCTCTGTCCCTTTTTTTATTTATTTTATTTTATTTTTTGTCCAATAAGGCACTCCATAGTTTTTGAAAACAAAGAAATTATTACCTATTTCTAGAATTGTACTCTTCTCTCTTTCGTAAACATAAGATTTACTTTAAAAAAATATTTATGTGTTTTATTTTTGTGTGAGAAATTATAAAATATATCTCAAAAAAATGTTTATTTTTCTATTTTTATTTTTTATTTGGTCAAAGTTTTTAAAGTTTAATTTGTAAAAGAGTGTTCAAATATAATTTTCATAAAAATATTTAAGAAAAACATGAACAAAAGGTGTTGATATAATGTAAAAATTAATAATTTTTTTAATCTGTATAAAAAGTTAAAAAAAAGAACACTCCCTTTGGTAATAGAGAGTAAGAGTTGTACTCATATTTCTCGTGTATAAACATAAGACATGTTATGAAATTTCACAGTGAATTTCATATTTAGACGACAGAGAGAGAAATACAACTGTCCGTATACTACGAAATAATTCTTCTATTTAACTCCTAAAATTAAGATACGACCCTTCAAAATAAATAAATAAAAAATAATAATATCTTCTTAAGAACCTCTTCACCAACCGCTATCGTTGGCCAAATATATATATATATATATATATATATATATATATATATATATATATATATATATATATGAGTAGTTGTATTTTCTCATTTTACATAAATATTTAATTTGTCATGAAAATTATTCACTAATTTCATATTTATGGGAGAAAGAAAAAAGTATACTAAATAATTTCTTTGACAAAACACGATTACTTTAAAAAAAAAATTCTAAAGAGATCGTCTCCTTAACTTTTCACAAGATTCAAAAAAAATATACTATTAGTTATAAAATTTAATCCTACGTTATATAGAACCAATATTAATTTAAGAAAAAATTCTTTTGAAATTTAATTAGTAAATCAAAGGAAAAATCATTAAACTGATAAGGATTGAATTATAAAAAATATATTATTGAAAATATTTTTTCATATAGTGAAATTCTTACAATGAATATTTTTTATATAACAAAAATTTGCTTTCGAAATTTTTATGTTAAAAGTATTTGTATCATTGTAAGAATAAGGAAAATGTATAAAAAAAAATTAATTTTTTATTAGTTAAAAACAAAAAATGAAAGAAAAAATTGATTTTTTATCAAATAAAAAAATGTATTAAGTAAAATTTTGACTATATAAGTATTTCCATAATCTTTTAATAGGGAGAAAAAAATTATTTATTTTGACTACTGGATCGTAATAAATGTGTCGTTTACTATGTTAGTTATTAGATCACATTGTGATTGATGACGACAATGAAAGCAAGAACTGCACCGAAAAAGATGAAGGAATGCAATAGCCGAAGTGGTTGACGGGGTTGAGTTTCTCAATGCAAAAAATGCTACAAGCCCAGTATCTCACAGTCCAACGTGGGAAGAGAAAGTAGTTGATAGGTTGAGGCATTTAAATGCCCGATCCAGAGTTTTCCATTCACGTTAAGTCATTCATACATATATCTATTTAGAAAACGATCCATAAAGAAATTTTTTACGGGAAATTCCCATTCAAATTGATGAGAATATATGCACGAGGGATAAAACGTGGATCCCATTAATTTAATATACTCTCGGAGACACGTGATTGAAAAAAATGGGAAGTACAGGCGCAAAATAAAAAAAATAAAAACACTCAGATTACAAAATTTATATGAACAACTCAAATAAGAATACTTGATTACAAAATTTATATAAATACACGTGTACTGACATTTTTTATTACCTCATGTATATTCAAGTGTATTTGTTTCGCCTAATTTTTCAGTGTCAAATACTGAAAAATGAATTAGTAAAAAATATTTTTCAGTCAATCCAAAATAATAGTTCTAATTTGAAACAAAATGTTTTAATCTCATGAAGGAGGAAAAAATAATTTTTCAAGTACTACATACTCATAATACTTACTAACACAATAATTTAATTATTTTAACAATGACTAATACTAAAACCACAACAATAACGACAACACTGCTACTCCACTGCCGCCGCCGCACCACCATGGCTTGCCACCACCTTCCTCGCTAGTGCAACAACCATTTTATTACCAGCGTAATCATCATTTTATCACCATTCTGCTATAACCCTCCAACATCATCACAGTTGTCGCCTTACCATCAACACCAATCTTTACTATTATTTGGTGATCAAGGTAAATACCACTTCATCATTATTTTTTCTATTATCATTGTCACTTCAACACTATTACTATTGTAACAATAATTACGACCATTAATCATTATAACTGTGGTTGCTTCTACCATCACCACCACATCACCTTGTTATTAAAATAACCATCAATACAATTATTATTTTATTATCATTTTCATTATCATTATTGTCACGAGAGCTATCAATGTAAGGCCATCATCATTATAACAATATTATCTCAATCATTAACACAAATACTACAATCATAATCGTCACCAATACTAACATCATCGTCAATATCACTACTTCAATTACTAACATTACAAGTTTTCCCATCATTCAAAAATCATTAATAAAAAAAAAATTAATACATTCAAACAATAAAAAATAAAAAAATATTTTTCACAAAACAAACATACCCTTCAATTCTAATTTCTGACCTTGAAATGGAGCTTTATTCTATTGATAAAGCTTTATTGATTCCATATAAAAACAAAGGGTTTTGTCGTGGTGTAAAATTGAACGACCACTTTTGATTGTTGTCATTGTTAATTTGTTACGGAAAAGCGTTTTTGTCTTTTTTTCGAAATCGTAATTCCACATGACCTACTAGATATCAAACATCACTAAATTTAGTTAGATCATATTCTGTAAAACTAAAAGAAGTGAACATTTTATTGTTCACTTACCGTAGCGCCAAACTCGGTTGCATTATGGACAGCTTTTTCGTGATTTTTTGGATTTTGGTGGGTGAAAGTTATGAAACTTTTTAAACTTTGATCCCCGATATTTTTGAACGAATATTTCAATCCGCATTTTCATTTGCTCATCCATTTTAGTACACGATGTAAAGAGAAAGGAGGGAGGAAGAAAGCGATCGTCGGCCAAGCTTGTTTAGGCAACTTTAGCTTGCAAAAATCCACTTGATTTTTTTATTTTTGAGATATGAGTTTATTCATGGTGATTTCAAGCCATTAAACAATTAGAGGAGGTAGATCGGAGTCAAAAAAGAAAAAAAAAAAAGCTTTGATTTGATTGTGTATTTTTCTTTGTTTTGATGTACATTAAAATGATTTTTTAGGTTTTTAATGTGTTTATTGGCTTTATTCTAGTCATTTAGAGATGTTTGAAAAAACCAAATGATTCCGAAATTCAATTTATATGGGTCTAAAACTTGACCCTCGATTTTTCGATGAAATCGAGTTCAATGAAAGTTACAAAGTTTTTTTTTTTTTTTTTAAAAAAAAGGCAACTTGGTTGCACAAGCCAACTAGGCACTCGTCTTGGTTGGTTTGTGCCAACCAGTACGCATGTCCTCCTCCTTTTTTTCTCCCTTCATTCGTGTGTGTGAAGAAAAAAAAAGAAAAAATATATTATTTTTTTCTTCTTCTTTTACATATATATAAAGGAAGGAAAAAAGAAAGAAAAAAGGTCTACCAAATAAAAAAGTGTGAAAAATATAAAAAGTAAATCATTATTTTTTTAGTTTTTCGCATAGTTTGAAGATGATAGAACATGTATATATCTTATTATATTACTTTTATTGTTTAAATTTATTTCTTCAATTATTTATTTCTTATTAAAATTCTCATCAAATTAATTTTTTGATTTAATTTTATTTGTTAATAAATTTATTTTTTTAATATATGAATTTTGTAATAAATTTTAGAACGTTAGTGTTTTATTTAAAATATATTGTTATAATTTATACAATAATTTTTTTGCTTTTTAATGAGTTTTTAATATATATATATATAGAGAGAGAGAGAGAGAGAGAGAGAAAGAGAGAGGTATGTTTTAGATAGTCTAACTCTTTTTTAAAAAAAAAATCAATAATCGGTTAAAAGAATTCACAAGTTTTATTTTTTTAATTTATATTTATTCAAAATTTATCAAAACCAAATTTATTGTGGTTTTTATTTAAACCTATTAACTTCAATATATTTCATACAATTTAGGTGATTTTTCTCGCTATGTTTTTTTTGTTAATATATATATATATATATATATAATCCGAATCGTTAAGTATGATACACACACACACGCACATATATATATGTGTGTGTGCGTGCGTGCGTGTGTGTATCATTAATTTTATTAAAAATTAACTCTATATCCGCACACACAATGCCAATTGTTTATTATTTATTTTTTCATATTTTAAAATTTATTTTTAAAAATAAAATAAGTTGGACAATGTTTTGAAAGAGCTTCTCAATTATTTAAATACAAACTTTTATGCTAATATTATTAAATATTTTGTTAAGAAATGTATATAAATCAAACGATTTCGCTCAATATATAGATTCGATTTACATTGATTACCGTAAATAAAACTTCTACTCACGCTACATCATACAAATCATTAATTCTACGTATGCAACTCGTTGTTTTACCGCAGCATAAAGTAAGTATCTAACTAGTTTTTACCTAATTTGATTAGAATCAAATTGGATTGAATAAAAACTCAATATAGTTTCACTTGAATCGATTACGAGATCGAGTGAGAGTCATCTAATATGTACCCAACCTGATATTTTTACTTTTTTTTGCTGGTATATAACTTATTATAATCCTTATAAAACAAACCGAATTATACAATCTTTTATTTTTTAACTAAATTTTACTTTATAAATAACAAAAATCTTTTCTTTAATTTTCCTAACATATATAAATTACTATATTATATTGCAAATTCTATAAAAAATCAATCGAAGTTTATGACTTTATTTTATAATTGAAGTTTAATTTATAATTAAGAACATATGATAATAATGATAATTAATTATCATTAATTAAAAATATATAAAATTAGTCTATTAGTGTCCCTCAATATCATATAATGTCCATTTATCCAGTACTAAATAGCTATAAGCTCGATTGTTAATGTATTCTTTTTGAAGTACATTATATAATAAATCTAACAAATAATAAGCATATAATTACCCCCATATACATGATTTTTAAACATAAAAAGGATCTTAAAATAATTTTTATATATAATTGTACTAATCACCAACTATTTACTAATTAACACATATTATAAATGATCTTTAATGATATGCTTCTTTATTTTTAAATCACATTTACTATTAATATTTTTAATGTAAATCAGGAAGATAATATTATTGAATATGTGAGATTTTTTAGGATTTGATTTTGTGAGGTGCTAAAAAAATTTAAAGAGATTTTTTTTTTTTTTTTGAAAGGTCGGGTTAGGTACCCTTTAACCAACCCAACCCAGTACACATCCAATACAGATGATGGGTGCGAGTTTGTCGGGTCAGATGCAAGTGCATAGAAAACCCACATCAAGCCGATCCATTACCATCCCGATTCTTCTTCTTTCTTCTTCTTTTTTTTTTTTTAAACTTTTCCAATAATAATAAACCTTTAAATTATCTTCACAGAATAAATTAACGGACTTTTTTTTAATTCACTTCCTTGCAGAGAAAACACTCTGCAATTGGATAAAGAATTGCCTGTTTTGGTTGAAGATCCTTTTAATTAAGTTGCATCTTGCTTTCTTAAAACTAAACTGAATTTGGTTTTATACCAGTCCACGTGCCACCTGACCAGGCCAACTTATCAATTTAATCAAGAACTATAAAATCTAGTGCAAAACTCAAATGCACTTAACTATAATCCGAAATTTGGCAGAAATTCACTATTGATTCCCTCAACAAGAGTTCCGAAATGTAATCGCAATAAACTACGTAGATTAAGCGATCATTGAAATTTAAAAATATTGTTCGAAAGGTTTGGCTACTCTTAAAACACAGTTCACCTCATGCCGGGATGGAGATTCATAACTGCCTTGTCAAAAGACTCGAAACAATCCTTTTTTTTTTTTTTTTTGCAAGCTAGTCATCCGCGTCTTTTGACATCGATCTCCCCTCACCTACCCCCACTAAATAGAAAGATAACCATCAAGGAAGCTCCGGTGGAGCACTTCTGACAGAAAGAGAGAGAAAAAGACTAGCAACCCTTTAGAAAAATCTATCTTATTGCTCTTAAATTAATATAGGAGTGATTGAACTTGTCTTCAAGAAACAAAAGAAGTGCCAGTGGAATCAGATGAAACTACTTGCAAAACAAACTCATGCTTAAACATTATAGTCCATAGGCATGCATGAAAGCCCTTCCATAGAAGGGTTGCCCGAGCCTAGGTAATGAACCAGATGGAAGACGATAACAAATCACACCAAAATCAGTACATGACCTTGACCAAATAGGAACACGTACAATAAACTGTCCATATCAGAAGGAAATACTGTTCTTCCAGTTTGTTCATGCAATTCATTTCCCTTATAGCTGCAGTTAAGCAACAAGGACAACAGTAAAACCATATAGGATCTAATTTAAATGCTTCATCACATTATGCATGGCTAAAGTACTAAACAACAAGATATAGTTCATCAAAATCAAGTTTTAAAGTAGCAAAGCCTAAAATTTGGATAGTGGCCAAGAGATAGAAATAGGTACGGATAGAATGGTAATCAAATAAAGCAAAGAAGATTATAGATATTGAAAATTTTGTGGTTCCTCTTTTGTACAACGAGAATATGTTGATAAATCAATGGTAATTGTTGTGTAAAAGACTAGTACTTACCATTCTGATTTATTTCCTGTGCTCATCTCCACTCACTATACACGCCACCTACAAGTTATTCTCTAACTGATCGTATTTCCTCTGTCATTCCACTTTGAGAACAATCTTCATAAACTCATAAACAAAGTAACTTATTGCTGCTGAAGGAAGTACCTGAAGGTGCAATATATTGGAAAAGAACAATACTGTCAAAATTTTGGAAAGACCATGCAAAACTATGTAAGCAGCATTACAATAAAAGTAATAGCTTGTTTTAATAAATAAGCATGCAAGTTGCAAAACATGTGGACTTCAGTTATTTAGTGGAGGTTTTTGCCCCAAAGGTACAACCATGTAAGAACAAAAGTTCAATTCAAAGCCCATGCAGCATTCCCAACACCAGATCTAAACTCCCCTGAGCTCAACTTATCACAACCCAACCTAGCTGGGTGCTAGATCCATGGATCTGCCTTCTCCATTCAATTATGTTATGGTGCTAACGTTTTGTAAGCCATGAGACTCTCTCTCTCTCTCTCTATATATATATATATATTGTTGAAAATAGCATCAGATATGAAGTTAACATAAGCAGAACTTTTATCCCAGCTATCTGTATGTTTTAGTTTTAAGTCAGTAATTCATGATATATTTATGAAGTTAAATATCATCACAATTCTGCAAGTTTTATAATAGCAACCAAGCAGTATGCATGTAAATAGATAAAGCTGCCACATAACATCTTGTAAGCAAGTCCATCATGTACAGAGCTTTCAACTATATACCTGCAGCAAGCTGGGAAAGAGTCCTGCATAAAGAGCTGGAATTCCTCCTTGCTCAACTAGCTGGACACAGGTCGCCAATGCACTCATCTTGGTAGCCTGGACTTGCAACTGAAGCCGTCTCCTCACAACTTCAAATGGATACGTAGCAAATTCTGCACAAGCACCAGCAATTGCCCCATGCACTAATGTCCTGATTGGTCCCAACTCCAGTAGGTCCAAGGCATTTAATTCCTGCTCGCGATGGCTCATATACTGAAGTCTCTTCCTACCTTCCGGTGAATGCAGATAAGCTGATTTCAGTATGTCATACACGCCATAGAAAACTGCCCCTGATGGCGCCATACTTAAGATAGAAGGTACTAAGCCCTTGTAAAGCGAAAAGAAACCTTCAGTTTGTATCATGTGGCGAAAAGTACCAATTACACCGCCCAAAGCTTCGCCACCAGATGCAACAATCTTGGTCCGGATCTACAGCAATTAAAAAGCAAGTTAGAATCCTGAGGTGGCTGTGGGCCCCCACATGCACCTTCGTAACATTGAAATCCTGAAATATAAAATATTTAACTGTTTCGATCAGAAACAGAGCAGAAGAGGTTTGATTTACAGTTATAAGCATATGGCTTGCCATCTGTTACACCATTTTCAAACAGAATATTTCTGGTCGCTAAAGAATGTCTCATTCATAGCATAAATAGGTATCAGCAAGAATACAATTAAAACAATTCTATAGCTGTAAATGTTATGTATAGCATTCCAAGTTCCAACCAAAGCTTGGGGTAATTGCCCATGTAAGTGTTCTATCAATAACTTTTCACATCCGATAAAACACGAGTTACTTTTTTGTTGGCATACAGAATATCAAACAAGTCGTTTTGATTTCTTACCATAAACATATTTTCCTGAGACACGTCATCAAGCTATGTAAAGTAAATTTGACAAGTCATTGCAAGGAAGTGATCGTATCTGCCCAACAAACAAGTCTTCAAAAAGGGGGCAAAAGATGACCAACTTCCCAATATACTATAGATAGTTTCATATACAGTCTCAATCTATTCATGTTCCAATGGATATTTTGATATAAAACCTTCCCTAATATAAGCTTAATGGCCTGGAATATAGAAGAATCAAAATATGAGAACAAGATTGCTGAGCTTTTGTACACAGCCAGACAATCCAAAATCATTGAGCAGGTGAAAATAAATGGCCATATGCAATCAACTTGGGTCACTAGATCCTGGCTTTGCGTAATCAATGTGCTACTATGATAGTACTTCTACAGTGAAGAGTAAGCCCAGCGCCAGAAGATAAAAGAACAACATCTCAAGTTTCCACTTACCGTGTCAAGCGGTAAACAGAGAATTGTCGCAGTAATGCCAGCAGCAGCACCAGCAACGAACCTTTCGAAATTCGTGGTTTCCTCATTTCCAGAGAATCTAAGCAGTTGCTTCCTATACGTATCATAGGCACAAAAATTGATAGCTTTAAAAGGAGCCGTGCGAAGAATGTTAACAAGGTTCCCCTTCCAAAAACCCTTCAAGCCTTGAGTAATAGCAATTGTCTTGATTAGCTCAGCTATATTCTTTTGCTCACCACGAACTATATATTCCAGTTTTAATCGCTCAAGCGGAGCCACACAAGTTCTGATACAATAACATCATTACAGTAAATTTTCAACGGCACTAATCAAAATAAAAACAATAACAATGCATAGACCCAACAACAATTAAGTGGGGTAGCATCATAGCTATAACACATATTTAGCAATTGAACTAACGATATTCAACACATTGACAAAAACAGCCCGTGATTAACATTGAATCTGCAAGCACAAACCTTGAAACCATGGCAGCAATAGCACCAGCCCACAAATGCTTAGTCGTATTTATAGCAACACCTCCTCGTGCCTGAACCTTCCGTTTCTCTTTACCCTCCAAAACAATATTACCTCCCTCAGCCACCTTATCCTCCTCTTCCAGGCTCTTGCTATCTCCGTTTTGTACCAAACACACCTTAGATTCCTGCATAAGCCCATCATTTCTCAAGCTCACTGACAAAAAGACACCACTAACCACCACTTTATTACAACCACTGCCGCTACTCTTCCTTCCTCTCATTAAACCCCCAAAATTCGCGTGTTTATAAAAATAAATGGGATTTGAAATAGTGATTGAAGAACATTTATGAGAAATGAGATTAACAAAAGAAGAAGAAACGGTGGGCTCCAGAAATATGCCACCGAGAGTGAATGAGCTAGAAGAGCTGGGAGTTAAATCTATTGAAAATGAAGTTTGGGATTGTGAATTTCTCTGCCATATCTCAAATCCTGGCATTTTTTATGAGACTGAGACTGGGTAAGTGGTGAAATTTATGGGGCTTTAAGTGAAAATGTGAAAGGTAAAATTAGCCGGGGAGGGAAATGGCGGATTTGAGATGCTTTGGCTTTGCCTCCGCCGCACATAATAGCAATCCGCCCGCTGTTGAAATGCTAAATAGAGACGTAAAACCATGGTTCTCGCGAGATATTTTTTTCCTGTTTTTATATATTTTTTGTTCTTTTTCTTTCTTTGAGTGAGTTACCGTTTAGCACTGCCTTGTGTCTCTGAAAATATAAATTAATCAACTTCTATAGTTTGAAAATTATATATTCAGATTTTAGTTTATGTGGTTTTAAATTTATTTATAAATTAAGAGCCTGTTTAGGGGTGAGCATTCGATTAAACGGTTCGGTTTTATACGATTCGGTTCGATTTTTGGTTAACCGAATTAAAAAAATAAAAACCAAAACCGAACCGAAATAAATTCTGTAAATTCGGTTTGGTTTTGAAATATTTCGGTTTTAACCAAAATATTTTGTTGTAAAAAAAAAAATCATTACGGAGAGATATTTTGTACTAGCACTTAATCCACTAGCCAATGAATTAACATCTTGTTATCGATTAATCTTTTTTTATAAACAATCACAAAGCCCTTGAAGATTTTAATTAAGCTTTAATGAAAACGAGTCCAAGTGTAATAAATTTGCTCATTCAAACACGCTGTATCCTAATTAATTACACTATGTCACTTTCTTTTCTTATCCCAACGGTCCTCAAAATTTATTTCTCATATGTGTGTTTCAGTTTCAACAAGAATGAAGATTGAAAAGTTAGGGATTTAGAAATTAGGAAATTTTTTACTATTTATTTCGGTTTTCGGTCGAAACGAAATTTTTTTTCTAAAAACCGAACCGAACCGAACCGAAATAATTTCTATTTTTTCGGTTCGGTTTTATATTGTATAATTTTATATTTAAAACCGAATCAAATTTTATAATTCGGTTCGGTTTTATTCGGTTTTCGGTTAACCGAACCGTTTGCTCACCTCTAAGCCTCGTTTAGCAATTCATTAATTTTGGACTTTGTTTTTTCTTTTTAGCTCTTGGGGCAAGGACAAAAGGTGTATGTTAAAATTTAAAAAACTATTTTGAAAAAACAATTAAAGGCTAAAATTCTTTAAGTTATAAAATGAAGTTTTTATATGTTTGAATCTTATATTTTATATACTACACGTAAAAGTATTTAAAAAGCACGTGTTACCGTATACTTTTATATATATAGTTGTAGTTCCAACATCCGTAACTTATATTTTGAGCCACAACAAGAGCTATAATAAATAGCAATATGGTGATCAATTATAAAATATAAATAACAATTTTATTGTCATTTTTTACTTTTATTTTCACTTCTCTTGTAACACTAAAATTATATTTAATTTTTTAAAAACACATGTTACCGTATACTTTCATAACTATGGTCGTAGTTACAACATCTGCAACTTACATTTTGAGCCACAACAAGAGCTATAACAAATAGCAATACGGTATTAGTAATAAAATATAAATAACAATTTTATTGTCATTTTTAATTTTTATTTCTACTTCTCTTGTAAACATAAAATTATATTCAATTTTTAGTATTATTTTTATTTTATTTGTTTCAATCAAATACTTATACAACAAAAATACAATTTTTATTTTCATCATTCTACTCATTGTTATCAAATGGCTTCCAAAAAGTAATTGAATAGATTGACAATTGATTTTTTCAATTTACCCTCCTTTTCTTACGAGTGGACTCGTATGGAGGCTAGGGGTGAATTTTTTCATCACAGAACTAGGGTGTTTGTTTTTCAAATATTTTACATGTAGACTGTTTTCTTGTAAAACATTTATATTGAACAAATTTTACGGACGTTTGGAAGGTTTGACATGAAAAAAATTGATAAAAGTTAAATAATAATGATGTTGATAATAGTGACTTGTCTTCGATGAAAATTGAAAGATCTGAATGTCATTATAAAATAATTATTCTTTGTAAAATATTCTATGAAACTTTACAAATTCAGAATATTACCAAACAAATGAATTAAGTTTACTGGTTGACTATAAAGTATTTATATTCATCAGCTTTTCGTAAAATATTTCACGTAAAAAAAATATAAAATTTCAAAAATACATTTTTGTTGTGAATTTTTTTACATGTGTGTAAAGTTTCATTTGGTCCGGTTCTATATTTTATTTCTTTTCTCGCGTTCGCGAGCATTTAAAATTTCCATCCTATATTACTTATGAAATTTGTTTTTATTTCGCTTCGAATCTCATTTCCTTACTCAAATTTGCGAGCATTCATATCTGGGAGCATTGGACATTGTGTTTGATAGACGGTCAATCTGAAAGGAAAATATTAAGAGAGTAAAATTTATATTTAAAGTGTTAGGGGTGTAAAAATGTATAAGGGGTAAAGTGTTTATGATGTTTGATACCAGCTGACAAAAGGTTAGGAATAAAAATGGTTTCGATATATATTAATTAATTTTTAAATTAAATAAGATTATTAAAAAAGAAAAGCAAACAGTATTATGTTTGTAATTGAAAATGAGAAGTGGAAGGCACAAAAAAAAGAATAAATTAATATTTTATTTAAAAAGGGAGGGAAAAACACATCACACTCCCCCAAATTCCCTTTAGCCCTCCCCGGGAAGGTTAACATTTAAATCTTACTCTCTCTGAAAATTTCCTCTCCCCCCACAAATTGTCCCAAACACAAGTAAAAGGATGAGAAGTTACCCTTATAATTTCTCATCTATTTCACCCAATACCAAACATACCCTATAATTAAATATTTGGTCACATATATATATTATATATATATATATATATATATATATATATATATAAGAGAATAAAATTGGCCTTTTAAATTGTAAGTTGACTGAATTCCTAAAAATTCTTATCAAGAACATAGTTCCACATTTCTGAGATGGACTGACATTATAGCTGTAGATTTTATACTACTTGATCTTCAATGTTATTATTAATTGTAATTACAAAATTTGAAATCTTGTAGCTTATATATTTCATGAGCAAATGATGAGAAATTACTAATAAACTAAAAGGCATGAGTTTTTTCAACATCAAATTATTATTGTTAGACTATTCATATTTTTTTCATCTGTTTTTTTTTTTTTTGATTTATTTATTGGATTCAGATACTGTTCACTTTTTTTTTTTTGTTTCTTTTGTTTCAAGTTTATCTCTTTTTTTTTCCGAGTACTGTTCACTTTCATTTTGTTCTTTTGTTTCACTTTGTTGTGAATACATGTCTTTTTTCCTTTATTTTTTTCCCATCAAGTCGGGTTCCTTTTTAATTTTTCAGAGTTATTTCATTTTGATCTCTTAGATTCTTTTTTATTTAATTTTTTAAAAAAATTTCTAGGTTATTTGTTTTGATCTCTTAGGTTCTTTTTTTATTTTTATTTTTTAAATTTTTTTAGATTATTTCATTTTCATCTCTAAAATTTTAAAATAAAAATTTTAATCCTCTATCTAATGCACTACTCATGCCTTTTCTTTTCTTTTTTTCTTTGTTTTTTTAATCAATTTATGTTCTTTTTTATTTAATTAGATGTTAAAATTTTAAAAAATCAATTGTCGCTTTTTTCCAAAACAAACTAACAATTATATAACACTAGTCATGTCTTTTTTTTCTTTGCTTTTTTTTTTTTTATCAATTTATGTTCTTTTTTCATTTAATTAGGTGTTAAAGTTTTGAAAAATCAATCATTACTTTTTTTTTCACACAAACCGACGATTCTATAATATATACGATAATTTTTACATTTATATGATATGTTTTTAGATTTTAGAATAAATATAAACTACTCTTATTGTATAAAATTAATTTTTTCAATAAAAATTCTCATCGAGTTAAATTTTATTCTTATTTTTTATAATTTTATTTATCGATAAATATGACTTATTTTCTCTGTGTATGGATTTGAATAAGTTTTTTTTAATACCTATTTTTATTTACTTGATTCTTATATAATCAAATTTTAAAAATTGAATATATGTATTTTATTTTCTTATTTTTTACATAATCAAATTCTATCGAAATTAGTTTTATAGTTTTTACCGCACTCTATTAACTTCATTATATATTTTACCATTTAATTTTTTAAAATTTTTTAAATTTATTTAATATATTTTCACCTATTGAGTACAGTCGTGATGTATAAAAAATAATAGCATTAGAATCATTAATTTTATCGTAAATCAACCATGCATCTACACACATAATACCAACTATTTGCTATTATTTTTTAATATTTAAAATTATTTTTCAAATAAAATAACTGAAATAATAATTTAGAATAACTCGCTTAATAATTCAAATATAATTTTGTATACTAATATTATTCATTATTTTGTGAATAAATATATATAAATCAAATGTATATATTTTAAAAAACAATCTTCTCATCAAGTAAAAGTTTCATTTGTTAATTTTCATATAAGTTTTTATATTAATTGTTACTCTATTTGTTTGATGCAATATAATGAAAAAAAATATCAAGATGTTTTTTAAAATTTTATGTTAAAATTTGTTCATTATGGGTTTTATTTAAGAATAAATGCATAACAAAGAACAAATCATATATTTTTTTACTTCAATGTGTGTGTGTGTGTGTGTGTGTGTGTTGATTAAAAATTATAAAATTATACAAAATTTTATCTTTTATATTTAATTTAATATATTTTAATTAATCGATAATATAGTATATATTATCAAACTGAAATAGATATATATAGTTTGGTCCGCAAGCATGACGCGAGAATCCTAACTATTCGTATGTCTAAAATTTATATTCACTCACTATTCATATGCATAAAATTACTATTCACTTTATAGCAATTTAGGTAACTTTTATGTGTCGTTTTTTACGTGCTTTTGGATACTAATATGCAAACTTAACACTTTTTTCTATTTTTCATCTCTCATGTTGTAACATTTTTTTTCAATCCTTAGTTTTCATTTTTTTTTTTCATGCAGCATGTATGTATGTATATATATTGGTTAAAAATTATAAAATTAAATGAAATTTTATCTTTTATAATTAATTTAATATATTTTAACTAACCAATAACATAGTATATATTATCAAACTGAAATAAATATGTTTAGTTTGATCCGCAACATAGCACGAGAATTCGAACTATTCATATGTCTAAAATTCCTATTCACTCACCGTTTATATGCATAAAATTACTATTCACTTGATGACAATTTAAGTAAATCTTGTGCATCTTTTTTTTGTGTGTGTTTTTAGACATTAATATGCAAATTTAATAATTTTTTCTATTTTTCATCCCTCATGATGTAACTTTTTTTTTTTCAATCCTTAGTTTTCATTTTCACGCAAGCATGTATGTATGTGTATACACACACTATCTTTTAATATTTTAAAATTAATATATACATCAGCTTGTATTACTCTTATCATTTAAATTTCATTATTTGAATTTATCATATTTTATGAAAATTCTCATCCAATTAATTTTTCTATATAAGATTTTATTTACTAATAAATATAATTTAATTTTCTTTATATTTGAATGTTATAATAAATTTTTAAAACATGATTGTGTTTTCTTTTTTTTTTAAAATAAATTAGTATAATATATATCATGAATTTTTATAATTTTTAAATGATAGTCTGTGCATATATAAATATATAATTATTTTATTCTAAAAGGTTCAAAGTGTATTTTAAATAATCTATCTCAATTCACTAGATATAGTCAAGACATATAAAAAAAACTATTGAATCATTAATTTTATTAAAAAATTAACTATACATCTTCCAACATAATATAAATTATTTTTTATGAATATTTTTTTAACATTATATAACAAATTTATTTATAATAAAATAATTAAAATAATGTTTTAAATGAACCAATAAATTATTCAAATATATATTTTAAGCTAATTTTGTTGATTATTTTATATATATATATATATATATATATATATATTTTAAAAATAATCTTCTCGCCGTGATTGTTAATTTCTCTTCAAATCCTCCGCAAGTGCTCAGATTACAACTCTGCCAACAATTGATGCAATTTTCCAATTCTACAATTGAAGAACTGAAGACAAATTATAAATTCTTCTAATTGATATGCATTAAAAATCTTTATTCAAGAATTGAATCAACAATGCAAAGTCACAATGTAAAATCACAAGGAAAAGCAAAAAAGAAGAAGAAGAATTAAAAAAGAATTTCAGAGAAAAATACAAAGAGGAAATATCAGTTTGCCAAGAAAATCTAGAATAGAAATTTAAGCTTCTCTCTTTCCTCATTAATACACTAGCTATTAAAGACAATTTTAACAACAATCTTACTAACTAGTGACAACGACTATATCATCACTTAAACAATCTCTCATGCGTGTTTTGTAATCTTTCTCGTTTTATCTAACGTTTTATCCATTTATTTTAATGATTGACTATGGTTATCATTTAGTTTTTCTATCAATTGCTTTCTACGCTTTAACTTACAAGCTAAAATATGTTTTTTTCTAACTTATATAAAAAAAATTATCTAAAAAGATAAATTAAAAACTTATTTAAATAACAAAAACATAATTAATTTATTTTAAAATATAAAAATAGATTGTAAAAAACATATCAGTTCGCTAACTCTTTTTTTTTTTTTTTTTTTTACACATAAGCCGCATATGCTAAACACATCAATAAGTAATCGATATGGTCAAAGTCACGCATTATGGTCTATAGCACCTTCCGTGCTCTATGACAGCCCATACGGTCTAGACTCTAACGTCAAATTAACGCGTAGGCCTAGCTACCATTGGTCTCTGCAATAGTACATATATGCCCTCCCGCACTCAATCCGGACCCCCGTTAACCGTCTAAACTCCAACGTCACATTGACGCAACTAGGCCAGGCCTATAAATGCCCGCTATTTGGCGCCCAAACTATTTTCAATCTCCTCTCTCAGAACTCCAAAAGTCAGAGACCGAGCGAGAGAGATCGAGAGATTCAATACAATTTATAGGGTTTCTAGGTACAAGCAATCGGTTTTCGATTTCGAGATGCAGAAATTAGGGTTTCCAAGCATGAAGACCTTGGATCAGTTAAAATCACCTCCAGGATACGCTAAGAACTTCTCATTCCATTCGCGGCCATCAACGGACTCGATTACATCGGGAAGTTTCGCAAATTTGAAGATCACTGCAGGTTTTGGTTGAAGGCTTTGTTGATTTGTTTAGTTTTCTTAGAGAAACTTGAACATTTGCGATGATTTCTTTTTGAATTTGTTGTTTGCAGAGAAATTGGTCAAAGAGCAGGCTTCTGTCAAAACAGATCTGGAAATGGCGGTACTTGAATCTCTCTCTCTCTCTCTCTCTCTCTACATGTGTTAGTTTGTAGACGTATACTTGTATGCACTTAAGTACATTTACGAGTACTGGCCTCTATATACATGCTTCATTGTAGGTATATGCATGTATAGACGTATCTGTGCATGTATTGTATGATATATATGCTCGCATCTCTCTTTGCTAAACCGTATGGGGAAAAAAATTAATTTCTTCAACTTAACCTTCTCATTTAATATAAACTGTTGTTGTTTTTATAAAAATTAGGTCTAATTATTCTGTTTTCTCCATGATAATTATGGTTAGCTTAGATGTTATTTAACTTTATTGTTTGTGGAGAAAAATGTTGGAGTAAATTAATTACACTAAATTGGATGCGGATTTTGTTTGAGAATTTTTATTACAATAGAACACCAAGCTGAAGAAATCAATGGAGCATATCCTTGTGTTGGAGGAAAAATTGCAGAATGCGTTTAATGAGAACGCAAAGCTCAAAGTAAAGCAGAAAGAGGATGAGAAGCTGTGGACAGGAATGGAATCTAAATTTTCTTCAACAAAGACTTTCTGTGATCAATTGACTGAGACCTTACAATACTTAGCCGGCCAGGTTCAGGATGGTAGGTATTTTCTATAAGTTAGAGGTCTTTGAATTCTGTATTCTATTTGCACTTGATAGTGACAGTTCCTTTAACTTGCTTCCACAGCCGAAAAGGATAAGGAGTTTTTTGAAGGCAAACTGTCTACAAGCTCAAATGCTATTGACAATTTGAACCAACAACTGAATACTTTATTTCTGAAATTAGGCTCTGCAGAGGAGACTATTAGAACACGTGAGTTGTTTACAACTTTCATTATTTTCGACAAACGGCTTTTCAGTCTCCAAAATGAGGATTGTTTTAGTTGTTTGCGTATGGTGTGATAGCTGCCGCTATTATCAAACAACTAACGTGGATTTGCTGATAAAGCATCATAAGGTTGTGTTTGTTTTGCACTGTAAATTGCATTTCATATCGTTCCTGAATCCTGTATGTAGGTGAAAGGCAACTACTGGAACTTGAAATTGAAAAGGAGAAAAGGAATAAGATCTACACAGAAGAACAATGCCGTACTGCCAGTCTCATAGAAGAAAAAGGTACATGATGTTACAACAGGCTGATCATTTTCTGGACTGGCATTTACTGCCTTCATTAATTAACATTTCAAGCACATGACTTTACAGATAACAATGATTGTGGATGAACATCTTATTCTCTGATATGTTTATTTTCATAGATGGAAAAGAAAAGTGAAGGGTTATGCTTCTAACACCTTTTTAATAATATGCAATGTGGTTCAATGCATAGCTTAAGGAGTTAGAAGGTGCTTATCAGACGCATCTCATATTCTGTTTGTATCTCAAATTAGGAAATGACTTCTGCTGGCAAGGAAGACAATGTTGTGCGTTTACATTATGTTGTCATTGTTTTCACCAGCTTCCTAGGTGTATTTTTTTAAAAAAAATTGGACAGGCTTATTGACTTGGATTGACTTTGGACTATTATTATCATTGTTCCTGATTAGTCTCTTAAGCGGGAAAAGAAAACATGAATTTATTGTCAGTGAACTCACTTGGGGTTGAGTCCTTTTCAACGTGAGGATTGTTTTTTAGTGTTTAGAACTCACTACCAGTTCTGGTATAATCTTCATGTATGGATTTTATGACTTAATTGCTGTTGTAATTAATCTCTAATCTACCTCGTGGGGTTTGTTGCAGAATTTAATTTGTTTCATTCATATAAAAGGGCTGAAATGTAGAGCATTGAAATGCTTATTGTTTTATTTGTTTCATAGTATAAACCGTTTCATGAATTCCCTTATATAAAAATTATTTCTTGGTCCCTTTAGAAGCTTTTCAGTTTGGTATTGGCAACTACATTCCATATCTTCTTGAGTGAACTTATATAACACTTGCAATCGCATGAGCTTGCTTGCCCTGGAGATGGAATGCTAGTAGTGATTTGAGCCTCTATGGCATTTTGCCCATTCTTAGTGATGCAGACTCCACCTGCATTGGAATTTTCAGAAAATTTCTACTACTTCTAGCAGAAGTTCATGCATATCAGAGCGGGTATCTCTTCATAGAGTTCATAAAATAGCTCAGAAAAACAACGAAAAATAAAAAGAGGAGACAAATAGAGATCATAAAGCATTAATTATTGAAACCACGGCACTGTAATGGCTCATGTCAAAAGCTGCAGCTGTTGAAAAGAGCATCTCATGCATGTGTGCTGATTGACTTTTAGTTCTAGAAGCTGTGCCCTGCATGCATAGATTCTGTGCATTGCTTGTGAAGGCGTTCTTCTTTTAGTTCTAGAAGCTGTGCCCTACTTCATTCACAGATTCTGTGCATTGCTTGTGAAGGCATTCTTCTTCCTTTTCTTTTATTGAGACCACGGCACTGTAATGGCTCATGTCAAAAGCTGCAGCTGTTGAAAAGAGCATCTCATGCATGTGTGCTGATTGACTTTTAGTTCTAGAAGCATTCACAGATTCTGTGCATTGCTTGTGAAGGCGTTCTTCTTCTTTTTCTTTTTTTTTTGCATGCAGATGCCCTGCTAAAGAAGTTTGAAGCAACTGTAGTAGCTAGTAGATTGGCTACAGAGGGCCTGAACTCTAAATTGGAAGAGATGAACCATGGATTGAGACTGAAAGAAGATGAAATTAATAGTCTAATGACCACTCAAGAGAATTTGGAGAAAGAAAAGAATGACCACCAATTGAGAAGCAACGATTTTGCTAATAGATTGGCCATGTCACTCCAAGAGATTAAAAACCTAGAAGGTTTTCTTCATGCATTGGCTACTCAATTGGTTGAGTTGGATAAACAAAGTTTGACTTTTACTAACAAGTTTGATCAGCTAAACTCTGTCTATGACAGTTGTTTTAAGCTGGCCCAACAGGAGAGAGAACTTGCTGTGAAGCATGTCCAAAGACAGTACTCTCAGCTCCATGATGAGTTTTTGTCTGTAACATCTGAAAAAGATGCCTTGAAATTGGTAAACCAGGAGTTAAACGATAAGATCATTGAACTTCAGAAAGCCCAAGAGTCTATTATGGCACAGCTTTCAGAAGAATGTCAGTCAGCAAAAGAGAGAATTCAGAGATTGGAATCTGAAGCTGAAATGCTGATATCAAAGAAGAAGGAAACAGAGATGTTGGTTTCCAAATTAGAGACGAAAATTGGCACTTTGTCAGAAGGTTCGAAATCATCTGAGAATAAAATTGTATGTGATTTTTTTGTTGCAATCTCTCTTTCAGGTCATTCCGGAGCATGCTTTCTTAGAACTCTAATCCTTTTCTTCTATCTTGCAGCAAGATTTGTTATTGAAAATTTCAGCATTAGAAATTGAGAACAAAGACAATGCTGAGAAATTACAGGAAGAGATACAGAGAAAAGAAGAAGACATAGATACTTTGCAAAAGGAAAGTGAGAAACATGAGCAACGTGTAGATTCATTGGAGAAACAGGTTTGCCACCTTCATAGCGTCATAGAGGAGAAGGAAAAGCTTATTGTTCAATATAAGGAAAGAGAAAAGAAGTTGGAAGATCAAATCACTGAGGTCTGAATAAAGTTAAAATAAAAATTTTCAGGTTCTTGCAACTTCCAAACGTTTCTAAGATTCTGTATATTGTGGCAGAATCAGGCATCATTGACTGCTGCTGAAAGCAAACTTATAAAAGAAAAGAAGCAGCATGATATGATGCTGGAGAGCAAACAATTGGAGCTATCAAGACATTTGAAAGAAATATCTCAGAGAAATGATGAGGTGCTATCATTTATCAGTATCTTTTACGAATCCTCAATGAGTTGTGCGTGTAAGTTCACATTGACACTGGTTACTCTTTACAGGCTATTAATGACATCCGGAAAAAGTATGATATGGAAAAGCTAGAGGTTGTTAAGATGGAAAAAGAAAAGGTTTGCCCATCCTAATTATTTGTTGCCACATGTTTGGCTCTGAAACATGAGATTCATGGGTTTGGTCTTTCAGGCAGACAAAGTCATACTAGAAATGGAAAGAAAATGTGACCAAATGCTTGCTCAATGCAAAGAAGAATCAAGGCAGCAGATGGTGTGCATCCAGGAAGAGCATGCTGCTGTGGTATGCACCAGAAAGTATCGCAAACATAAAATTGAATTTGATCATTCTACAGTATTTGATGCATATAAGGACCTCAGTTTTTTTCTATTTTATTGGATTATGCTTAAAACTGCATATTTTCACTCTTATGAGAAAAATAAACACAAAAAAATTAACTAATATAAGAGAGGAATTTAGAAAAGCATTTTGGTCGTGCCACCTATCGCCATTGAACAGTTTATTCTTGGAACTGATTTCTGAGGTACATTTTTGTTCACTTCTAACAGTATTTGCTACATCAGTTGATCATTATGTGACAATTACAGCCTTGATTTTTCTGATGTTTTTCTACAATGGCTTATTAATTTTCATTCTGCTCATTGTATAGGTCTTACACATTGAGCAGGAGTATGATAGAAAGGAGATCAGTCTTAAAGCTGCTCACAGTGAAGAATTAAAGTGTGCCCAACTCCAAGCTGAAAATGAACTGAGAGAGGTATTTTGTAGCTTACAATTCCATTACATGTGAAAAACCGAAATGCTTCGGTTTCTGATAGTTTATCCACTTGTCCAGAAAACAATGCAAGTCAGGAATGAACATGAAGTTCAAATAAAAGCTTTGAGGTGCCAGCATGAAGATGAGTGCAGGAAGCTTCAGGAGGAGCTGGATCTCCAGAAGTCCAAGGTACGTGTCTCTAAAGTGCTATATCATAGTATTACATTATCTGAGCTGCAAATTTAGTTTGAGTATAATACATTGCAGGTAGATCCACAGAGGGCTTTGTTGCAATTGCAGTGGAAAGTGATGAGTAACAAGCCACAGGAAGATCCAGAAGTGAATTCGAAAAAGGTTAGCTTACTCCACAAACACATGTGGGGGGTAAATATCTAAATGTTAAGATGCTTATCTTTTAAGTTATGACGGAATTCCCACTGATGATCTCTTTCCAATGAAAACGTGTGATATCTGTAAACAGCAATAATATAGGCAAAGGTTTCAGTTTCTTTGTTCTTCACATCATTCAAAATATCTTGGAATGCTATTTGTGATCTGACGATGTAATACATCCCTGCTGATTTTTACATGCTGACTTCTGACTGGCATTATATATGTTCAGCAGTTTAAGGTTTTTACATCTGGTCTCAACATAGATTACTGAAGGATCCTTCTAATCTCATGTCCTAGCCCCAATCCAGATTGGTGAAATTTCAGCTGCATAACTTTTTTTTTTTTAATCTTTGTATGAATGCAAAATTTCTTATTTCATGTCTTAACTTTGGTATAGAAAATGTCTTTCGTGTCTCCAAGGATCATCTAGGTTGAATCCTAAAGCAGTTCTTTTGCTGCATTACCTAAATAGTTTACTCATTCTCTTACATGAAGTATGATATTCCGTGCTAGTTCGTGGGGAAACATAAAACGAGTTTCTTATCTTTTGTCCATAAGCCAAAAGTGAATTTGCAAGAGTACTAAACATGATCGAATTGATGATATTATCATGTAGCAGGACTACTCTGTTTCATCTATTAAGATGAGAGATCCTGATGGTGCTAAAAGAAGCCACAATTCTTTGCGAAGCTTAGATATCGAAGACAAGGTAACAGAGAGCAAAGGATCATTTTTCCTCCATTCACACAAATTTCAACTGTTGTAAAGTTTTTCATTATATTTGTTTTCCTGTATTGTTTATAGGCTACACAAACTCCAGTGACCAAGTTATTGAAGAAAGTAGAGACTCCTAACTCAGGAAGTGTAATGGTTATTCCTAAGCATCATAAGAAGGTGAACTACTTCTATACGTGGTATTTTCGTTGTACAAAAGAATGGGATGGCCTTAGACAAAAGCTACAATTTTTTTGTTATTGTCTGACGGTCTATATTTAGAAATTCGTATTTCATCTCCCTTCCCCTTCTTTTTTGGACTTTATGGCATGGCAGGTAACTCACCATGAATATGAAGTTGAAACCAATAATGGACGGACAATCACTAAACGCAGAAAGACAAAAAGTACAGTCATGTTTGAGGTACGGACGAAAGGAGCCATGTTAAGCCTGCTATGTATACACAAGCAAAGTTCCGACAGGATATAGGCTGCTTGTTAGCATTGAAGGGCCTCCATGTTTACTGTGCCTAATGCTGGATTTCCTTGTGCTGTTGCATCAGGACCCAAGAAAACACAGGAGGACAAATACTCCAAAGGCCAGAACTCCCAGAAGTGCTATCAAGGTAATCCAAAGACAAATGTTTTTCCAAAATCTTGATTTGTTAATTGCGGTTTAATTTATACTTTCTTTTTCCTTAAAATTGCCAACATCTCCTATCAAGCATAACTGCATAGAAAGATCACTTTGCAGTTTGGTACAGCAAAGGTTTACGCTAAATTGAATGATCCATTAGTTGGTTAATCAGTAATATTTTCTACTCCATCTTAAAAGAAGAAGGCAGAATGAGCTGCCCCAAGGGGGCTGCCATATTAAGCCATACTGGGGTTAAGTTTTTTGTTCTTGTCCATTTGCTTCATCATGATTGCTTTTTAGAGCATGAGTAACTTTTATTGCCTGATTTCAAATAGTATTCCAAGTTCATTCAGTTCCATAATGGTTCCTGCTGTAAATCTCCATGCCAAGAAAGTTCTACAACCAATTAAATAAGTATTAGTTCGTTTTGAATATGTGTTGTATTTTCCCCAAAGGCCCATACCATGTTGATCTTGGAATGATAAAAACTAGAAGGTTAAAGAGAAAGGCAACTTGGAAGCATGAACAGTGTAAACTAAAATTTGCTGAACAACATTGTATGCAAGTGGACAATGCACGAGGACATGCTTGGTTGTTTAAACTAAACTAAGTACTGCTTCCTTGGTGCTTATTTTAATTGTCAAAAAATATTTTTAATGTAGGGAGTTAAGGGAGGGGGCCGGGCATGCCCATCAAACATTGGCGATTTGTTTTCAGAAGGATCACTGAATCCTTACGCAGATGATCCATATGCATTTGATTAGAGGTAGTTATTCTGATTCTGAACATCTCATTCTCAGTTGAAATAAGATTAGCACCCAGCAATAAGCCATTTTCCTTACCGGGTCAATGTGTTTTGGCAAGTTGGTAGCTCCAAGTTATCTCAACCATGGTATGGCATCTACTTCAGATTTATGGCATTCCTAGTTAAAAGATAGCCTCCTTTATTAGGTTATAAGTTGGATTATGAAATCTCAACGAGCAACGCTAATGTTCACCATGTTGAGTATGCTCATGTTAAATTCTCTGAAAGGGAAGAATGGAACAAAGGTAATTGTTTATTGTCTAGTTTATTTTTTTCCCCCTTCTCCTTATCAAAGCCTTCAAAGGTGTCAAAGTGTTGCACACAGTGGCATGATTTCCCCACCATGCTTTGCCGATTTCTCTTTTCATCTGAATTTAGATGGCGTTTGACGTTGGCACAGTTTCCTGTAAAACTAGGCAGATAGAGAACAGGAGCCTTTTTCAGAACAACGACAATGAAAATGAAAGTCCCGTGACCAGACAAACGATTGCCTGCAACTTGCAAGGCAGTCGTAAGAAAAGAAGTTGCCCCTGTAGCTCGGAGACAACTTTTTTTTTCCTCTGTAGTATAATGTGCCTCATTTGGCAGGTCAATATATTCTTTACACGTTCTTTTGTCTCAAGTTGGAAGAAATCCTTGCTGCAGATGTTCGAAGGTTAAGGGCCTGGACAAAAGTCACAAAACAACATACCCCGATATGGAGCCTAAAAGCATTCTTCTCTGTCAGTGGAGAATGCTTTTTTAGAACAACCTTGCTGATAGCAACATAGCACGATAATGTGAGAGGAAGCGTCCGAGCTTTTACAGGTTATGTTGGATAATTTTCTATGCTGGACCAGGATGCTTAAACTCTGTTGTAAATGAAGCCAACTAATTGTCGAGGACAAAAATAAAAAATAAAAAAATCTGCAAAAAGGGGATATGCTCATGACTGTAAAGTGATATCATTCCTACATAAGTGTTGTGTACATAATTGGCGCACTGTGATAAGACGCTTTGAATTTTTCAGCTTGAATCATTTTGTTCCTTTAAATCCCTGTATGTTAGATGCTTTAGCTCACAAGTTGGATATATGAATGAGTGGATTTAATAATGCAAATGCGTGACCAAAAGAAGTCAGTAGATGCCGGTATCTGGTTCCACCCGGATGGAACTAGGTTCGAAACTCAGCATTGATTAGCCTAGATTTCTGATCTCAGGTGGAGGTTGGATTGAACAAATCCACCTTAGCGCACCCCCCCACCCCCCCCCCCCCCCCGGGACCCACGCCAGCGCGTTGTCATCAGCTGGTGGATGCTAAAATTCAGCGTCTCTTCAGACCTTTTAACTTAAAAAACAGAGACTAAAGTATTCAGAGAACCTGGAGATTGTAGTTAGAAACAAGAGAAGGGCATCAATTTTCATAAATGCTTAAAGGCAAATTTCGACCGCAAGGTCAATTCAGTGATTTTATCAGCGCATCTTAGGTGCACTTTATTTAGCACTCAGGTGCAATTACATTGATTTGCCTATTTTAACAGCACATTGTATGCATAAATATAAGGTCACCATTTTCAGAGGGGCCATCATTTCATATGCATTGTTGAAACAAAGAAATATTTGTTAAAACTGGTTCGCAATCGAAGCAGTTGCAATTACACTGAAAGGAACAACCGCTAGCGACTAGGAAGTCAAATAAAAGAAGCGATCCTGATCTCTACCACTAAAAGTGAAATAAGATGTTATCATGTAATTCAAGACTACATGAGCGCAATCACCAAAAGGAAAGTTGAAATAGAAAGAACCACCGTGACCTGAAGAATCACCTCCATCAACCCACAAAGCCTGATCCTCTTACTCTTAAATCGCTCCCTCGCCAATTCCATCTTCAAATCGCCGATTTCTCTCATCATCATCTCCTGCTGCAATGAGTTCCAAAGAAACACATAAGGATTCGAAGATAAAACTAGAAGTAACAGAATGATTCGATTGAAAGGATGAGAGTGTATTTTTAACCTCTCCTTGGTCGTCGATTGAAGTTGTCAAGTGGTGGTTTGGGAACGATTTGAGCGAACAGAGCAGAATAGCAGCTTTGGCACAGCGAATGGCGACTTGTGATTTTAGAGGTTTGTCATTGCTCTGCATCTTCTCTGCTCCCTCCATTTTGACTCTGATCTCTTACTTTCGAGTTTTTGCTTTTGAAAATTTGAAAACAAGCGTTCTCCCGTGAAAATTGGAATTATTATATAATAAGAGAGGAATATCTATTGAGTAACCAATGCCAATAGACCTTCCAATAAACGGAAAAAAATAAAAAATTGGAGGAGGGAATAGGTCAAGTGTGCTTTGATATACAAATGCGAACTCATCAGATTTTGTGAATTGCCGCGTAGTGAGCATGCCACCTGTCAAGGGATCAACAAAATGGGCCTACCGTGGTCCCTGAATCGGCCGGATTTTGTTATGGTTTATTAAACAATGACATCCTAAGAGAGGCGTATATATATGTATATGTATGTATTCTTGAAAAAACTAAAATAGAACGGAAAAGTGCTAAAGCATTTTTTCTTGTTCATTCAATGTTTACCTTTTTTTCTTTCTTTTTTTTACCGGTTGCCTAGCCAAGTTTTTAGGAAATTTTATTTTTTATTTTAGTTCCTTTTTTGTAATTTTTTTATTTTAGTTATTAAAATTTTATTATATTTAATTTTTATCTTTATAATAAATATTAAAATTTTATTATATTTTATTTTTATCTCAATAATAAATATTTTTTTCTTGGCTTTTACTAAAATTCATGTCCTTTTTTGTTTCTCATTTTATGATGTGTTTTTATTTTAGTCATTAAAGTTTTATCATATTTGATTTTTATCCTTATTATACTAAAACTAAATAAAGTTTACTATCCTCAGCTTTTTTTTTTTTTTTGCTTTTTTTAAAAATTTTCTTTCTATTATAATTAATGTTTTATGATTTTTTTTATTTGTTTTGACCATTAAATTTAGTAGAATTTTAATTTTCTTTTAGTCCCTATTTTGTAATTGTTTTTATTTTGATTATTAAATTTTTATTATATATGATTTTTTCCTACAAAGAACTATTTTTTACTTTTAGTAAAACTTTTTGTTATGTTTTATTTTTTTTCTGATCTTTCTTTTATTTTGATTATTAAATTTTTATTAAATTTGATTATTATTCATTCTACACTCGAAATTAAATATAGTTTCACTATTCTAATTTTTTTTTAGTAAAATACAATTTTTGTTTTGGTTCTTATTTTGTTAATTGTTTTTTTGTTTTGATCATTAAAATTTTATAATATTTTACTTTTGTTCATGTCTTATGCATAATGAATTTTTTTAGTCTTATTGTTTATAATTTTTTATTTTTTTTGCTTTTAGTGAAAGTTTTTTTTTATTTTGGTCCTTGTTTTATAATCTTTATTTTATTTTGATCATTTAATTTTTATCATGTGTAATTTAATTTTAATTTTTTTTTTGTCAAATTCTCGATTTGACAAAGTTTTTTTGTTTTTTTTTTTTTTGGATGGTCTCTTTATCTTATTAACAAATTACGGATAAATAATATATGGTAAAAATTAATCATCTAAAATCCAAAAAACTACCACATCATTATTTTAATTATCGGTTATTATACGTATTTTAAATAAAATACATGTTTATATCAAACAATATTTAATTAGCAACATTATATTACTCAACTCTGCGGACTTTGCGTTTAGCTAACCTCCGCAACAAAATATAAAATATATGTTTAGTTCTTTTTTTTGAATTTTTTATGTGATGCTTTTAAATAATTATTTTTAAATTTTTTATTTCATATGAATGAACACATAAGAATGTTGTATAGCTCATCTCGTAACAGTGCGTGAGATATATGCTAGTATACTCTCAAAGGCTATGAAAAATTTTTGAATTATTAGAGTATAGACTAGCTCACTCCACACTCATTCAATTGTTATCCTCTAAAACGATTCATACTAACTCAAAAATGAGCGGAGTTAGTAATTCTCTCATACTTGATCTAATTTTGTGATTATAAATCATTTTAAAAGTTTATCCACGTTAATCACCGAATCTAATATAATTCTAACACATTAACATTTAATTTATAAACAAAAATTTATGCATATTAATCATTGAGTCTTGTGCAATTCAAACACATTAACAACTAACTTATAAAAAAAATATCAAACATACTCATTGTTTCAAAAATTCATCCACATTAATTATTGAATCTAACACAATTTTAATGCATTAACAACAAATTCATAAACAAATATCAAACATATTCATTTGTAATTTACTTAATTATATATATAAATAGTCGGATTTTTAATGACTCCATCACATTAGAAAGAAGAGTTTTTATTAGGCTAAAAAGGTCAAACCTCTCATCGATTTAATCTATTTGAAATTTAGTGTCTCAAATTTTAATTTGTGTTTTTGATTTTTCTAAACTTGATTTTATTACATATCATTTTAAAAGTTTATCACATTAATCACTCGAATCCAAGACAATTCTAACTCATTAACAATCAATTCATAGACAAATATCAATCATACTCATCTGCAATTTCCTTAATTATATATATAAATAGTTAGATTTTTAACAACTCCATCACATTAGAAAGAAGAGTTTTTATCGGGCTAAAAATTTATCGACATTAATCATTGAATCTAGCGCAAATCCAATGCATTAACAACTAACTTATAAAAAAAATCAAACATACTGATCATTTCAAAAATTTATCCACATTAATCACCGAATCTAATGCAATTCCAATGTATTAACAACTAGTTCATAAACAAATATCAAACATACTCATCCGTAATTTATTGAATTATATATATATATATATATATATATATATATATAGAGAGAGAGAGAGAGAGAGAGAGAGAGAGAGAGAGAGAGAGAGTCGGGTTTTTAACAACTCCGTCATATTATAAGAAGAGTTTTTATTAGGCTAAAAAGGCCAAACCTCTTATTTAATCTATTTGAAATTCAGTATTTGAATTTTTAATTTGTGTTTTGATTTTTTTGAACTTTATTTTATTACATATCATTTTAAAGGTTTATCAACATTAATCGCTGAATCTAGCGCAATTCCAACACATTAACAATCAATTCATAAACAAATATCAACCATACTCATCATTTTAAAAGTTTATCCGTGTTAATCACCGAATCTATCGTAATTCCAACGCATTGACAATCAATCCATAAAAAAATATTAATCATACTCATCATTTCAAAAGTTTATCCACATTAATCATTGAATCTAGTGTAATTCCAATGCATTAACAACTAATTCATAAAAAAAATCAAACATACTCTTCATTGAATCTATCGTAATTCCAACGCATTGACAATCAATCCATAAAAAAATATTAATCATACTCATCATTTCAAAAGTTTATCCATATTAATCATTGAATCCAAGCGCGATTCCAATGCATTAACACCTAATTCAAAAAAATTATATATATATATATATCAAACATACTCATCCGTAATTTACTTGATTATATATATAAATAGTTAGGTTTTTAACAACTCGATGGCATAAGAAAGAAGAATTTTTATTAGGCTAAAAAAGCTAAATCTCTCTTGAATTTTAATCTATTTGAAAATTAGTTCCTAAATTTTTAATTTGTGTTTTATTTTTTCTGAACTTTATTTGATTACATATAATCTTAAAATTTTATCGATGTTAATCATTGAATCTAATGCAATTCCAAAGGTTTAACAATTAATTCACAAACAAATATCAATCATATTCATCATTTCAAAAATGTATCCACATTAATCACCGGAGTTAGTACAATTCCATCGCGTTAACAACTAATTCATAAAAAATATAAAACATACTCATCATTTAGAAGTTTTATCCATATTAATCATTGAATATAATGCAATTCCAATGCATTAACAACTAATTCATAAACAAATATTAGACATGCTCATCCGGAATATTAATTATATATATATAAACGATCGATTTTTAACAACTCCATCAAATTGGAAAGAAGAATTTTTATTAGGGTAAAAAAGTCAAACCATTTTTGAATTTTAATCTATTTGAAAATTAGTCTCTCGTATTTTTAATTTGTGTTTTGATTTTTTTGAACTTTATTTATTTATTTAAAATTTAGTTTATCTTTCATTTTTCAGTCATTTATCTCAAAACAATTATAATTACATAGATAGCTTCACGATATAAATTATTTAATGAGATTTATCTAGAGCTTCCTAAAAAATTTAGGACTATTTTAGATTATTTTTTAATTTTTTTGATTTTCTATGTTTTCAATATTAAAAAAATAAACAATTATAAGTCTTGGTCTTGAAAATTTTTTAAATTTTTTCACAAAACGAATTGGATTTTTTTTTTCAATGTGTATAAAATTTTAAATTAAAATATCAAAATTTGAATGTTTTAGAAAAGAAGGGTGATAGCTAAAAAACATAAGATGGACTGAATCCAAAAAGAATAAAAACTTAGAGAAATCAAAACACAAATTATAAATTCAAATATTGATTTTCAAATGAATTAAAATTTAGAGAATGTTTGCCCATCTAGACAATTTATTACAATTAATGTATGTAGTTTTGTATATAAAATATTAAGGAGCAAGATTTCGTTAAATATAGTATCTAATTTATCTTGGATGCTTGAGTTTCAAATTAAAGAAAGTATGTAAGAAAATGTTTTTTCTAAGAAGTCTAAATTTGAATATGGATGATGTATTTAAAAAATTAAATAATAAATAAATTTAGTCTCCATTTATGAAAAACTATTCGCAAATATCTTGGCTGTTAAGGAAAAAAAAATAAAAAAAGGAAAGGAAAAAGAAAAGACTTAATCCGTTACCGTCCAGTTGTTCCCTACTATGTATCCTCTCCCTGGTCATGGATACAAACTGTAGGAAGCGAAACCAAAGATTTTTGTTTGCAAAATGGCGGGTATGGAAACAAATCTGCTTTAGTTAAAATCATGTCTGCGGCACCTATGAACACAAACTCACATTCATTCATTTCTTATTTACTATTCCTACCTTCCTGAGTTCCTCTTCCTTCCTCTGCCATCGCTATAATAAACATTAAAAACCTGACAAACAAAAGGCCTTTTCCTCTCCAACCCAAACAGCCAAAACCCCTTCAACAAAACCCAAAAACATAAAACTCTCTTCTTTTGAAAACCCTAAAGCCTCTCTTCTTGTTTCTCTCTTTCAACCTTTTATTATTCATTGGTAATGATTGTAACACCAATAGTGGAGTCCAAATGGGTGATCAAGAATTTCAGAGAATGACTTGCAAAGTGAGTGTTAGTCTGCCTTTTGATACCCCAGTTGTTGGATGTGAAATCAAGCCAATTGTTCGTGTTGAAGGAATTAATGCCCAAAGTTCCGTTGAAGTTCCACCACATGCACTCAGTTTTACTTGGTTAGTCTATTTACTTTCCTCCCACCTTTTGTATTGTTGCTCGTGATTTTATGAAACATGTTAACAGAAAGGAAAACTCAGGTGCCCGTGCTGCTGTGCATGCATTTTATCTTTTGGTTTCAAGGAAACAGAGGATGAGAAAAGAAAAATCTTTTTTCTTGAATGGCGGGCATTACTGAGCAGAGGATTGTGTTATCTTGATTCGATAAGAAGAATTTGGATTAAAGAATATGTTAGTTTCCACTTTCTACCATATTTTCTTAATCACGAATCAGAAAAGCAAGAAAATTCTTGTTCTTATGTGTCTCTTCTTGGTTTCAACTGGGTTTCTTGGAAATGGATTAAGTTGTAAGTTTCAGTTTTTTCAGGCATGCTCAAATGAAATTGTATTTTTGAAATGAGTCAATTACTTTAATTTGACCTATGTTTGGCAGACAGAAAAACTTGAAAGAGAACAGAAATAGGTAAATTTAGACTATTTACTAATGGCATTTAAAAAAAGATATTCAAAAGAATGCAATATAATTTCACTAACTCCATTCAACAAATATTTGTGAAAATAATGATTGTAACCTTAAATGAAATTGTTTTGAACTATATCCACAGAAATTTTTCTCCAAGCAAATTGAGTTTTGGTCTCGGTATGGGTTTATTCATTTGTTCTGTTATTCTTTACCCAACTAAATCTATCAGAAGAGTGAAGTTAATATATTTATTTTTATCTGTCAGTGACTGAATGTAGCATCAGGCAAGCAGCAAATGAGCAAGTATGGTGGTTTTGAAAGTGAAATAACAGTACTTAGGCACATAAGGGTGCATTCTTGCCCTCATGCTTTGAGATCTTGTTTAAATGCTTTGAGCCTTTCCACGTTAGGATATGATCCTGGAATTGAGACGATATGGAGGGTGAGTTGATCATCATCGTCTCAACTTCTCCTATGAACTGCAATTGATTTTGTCTGAATGCTGGTGTCTTAGCTTTAAAGCACGAAATGCATGATAAGGTTTGTCTCAAGTTTCACACAAAGCAAAAGATTCTACGTGTGACTTCCATCTTTTTAGATAAAAGAAAAAAAAATGGAAACTAAATTTCTTATTAATTTTAACCAGGCTACTTGGAGCCAACTCCTCATGTTGGATTTTGCCACAATCAGAAGCTTTGTTTTCAAGGTTACATGATTGTGTGTTTGTGTTCCCTGACACACTGAAGTTCTTTTGCTAGGGGAGTCTGTGTCTGTCTTACTAAGTAAAAATCTTTACTAGGAGCACCAAGGGGTGCAACACATATGCAGAAACCAAAATTTGGATAACAATAAAGAGAACTTACAGAATCTATAGCTGAAGAGGAGCCTGTATTGCTGGGTGGAAGAAGCTTGTATCTCAGGCTGTGTTTTTCTTACTTGCACATGCATGGCTTCACTTTAATTGTCTGTATTGGAGTAACATGAAATGTCCACATCTGTGCACATAGGTACCGCGAGATTTCTTGTTCTGTGCATAGTTCGAAATTGGCTACAGTTCAGTGCATGTCTTGTGTAAACTTGAAGATACCGGTCAAGGAGAGTTATCATTGCTCCACAAACTGCTTCATAGGTGCATGGAAAAAACACTTGGAACGCCATCAGCAAGCAGACAAGACTGTTACCAAACCTAGAAATGGTGATCAGCATGGACTGAGAAAGCTCAGGAGCTGTGGCTCTTGGCCTGACTTTGGCATCAGCTCATTACTTGACAAGAGTTCCATGGTGGAAGTACCAGAAGCAAAGGAATGGGTTAAAGTTGGCTCATCAAAAACTTATGAGCCCTCAGTAGGTGATGCTGGTTTCTGCTTAAGACTTGAATCTGTAGCCGTACACTGCTCGACAGGAGCTCATTTGTCTCCAACAAATACAATACTCACTGAATCTGTCATCACTTTTCCTACTTGTTGCCCTCGCCATATGGTCCAAATCAGTAGTCAGTCAAAATCTCGGTCGTCGCATCCTAAATCCCAACCTTCTAATGATGTAACATTTAGTGTGCTATCCTATAATATCCTTTCTGATATATATGCTAGTAGGGATATGTACAGTTACTGTCCAACATGGGCACTTGCATGGGAGTACCGGCGGAAAAATTTGCTTCAAGAGATCGATGGATATGGTGCAGATATCCTTTGTCTACAGGAGGTGGCTTTTTCAGCTTTTGCTACTTTATATATATATATATATATATTCTTTTTGCACAGAATGCACAATATGCATATCCGGCCTGGTATGCCTTGCCATCATATGCTATTTTGTGTTTCTTATACAACATTCCTTGATGGTTGGGCAGGTTCAAAGTGACCATTTTGAGGATTTCCTTAAACCCGAGCTAACAAAACGTGGATACGCAGTCATGTACAAGAAAAAAACTGATCAGGTAGAATTGCACTAGTCTAATTTGATGCTGACAATGATGCATTTCCAAATGACATATTTCAATTGAAATTTCTTTTTTCATCCTCATCCTCATCCTCATTCTTTTTTTTTTTTTTTTTTTGTGATTTTAAATGATTGCATGGTTACCGACTCTGACAATACAGCTTGCATATAATTCTGAAAAGAATAGATGGAAATAATCAAAAGTATTTCTACCTCGTAGTATTCATATCGCGGAAGTGATTCAAAGTTTTGAAAGATTGTCCAAATTTCATGAAACAAAGAGCACAAGTTTCTTTCCTAATTATAGTATAGAGATATGAGATAAAGCAGGACAATATAGGATGCTTTTTATGTCTGAATTGTGAGCAAAATGATTTTTTGTTTTGTTTTTCTCTAGGCTACTAAACCATGCTAATTGCAAGTGGTTCAGATTTCTTGATGCATTATGCTTCCTTTGATGCCACTTAACATCTTACAATGATCAAACTTAAATTGAAGTCTCGTGTACTTTTTAGCTCCCATAGTTATGCTTGCTGGTGGTAAATGTTGGTTCAAACAACATTTTCTGTGCACTAAACTTGATGGTCTATTTAATTATGTCAAGAACATAATACTATTGGATGTTTTACAGGTTTATACAGCTAACAAGTATATAATTGATGGGTGTGCAATATTTTATCGCCGTGACAGGTTCAAAGAAATCAAGAAATATGAGGTAAAGAAACTCCAAGTTGTATTAATATTATGTATGCACTGTGGGTTTAGTGATTTTGAATTTTTTATTGTAGCTTGAGCTTGATAAGGCAGCCTCCTCTGTGGTTGAAGCATTAGATCCTGGACTGAAGGAAGCTGCTGGATGTCGCTTGAGCAAGGTTGTAATAACTTATGTAGTCCTAATCTTCTTTTTGCATTCTGGAATGCCGGCTCCCATGTTCTCTTTGAATTGCATCATCACTTAGTTTACTCTTTTACTTGTTCTGCTAGGCCAACGTTGCTCTTATTGTCTTTTTGGAAGTTCTGAAAACTGGCAGCACTACTGAAGCTTTTCGATCAAGGATTTGTGTGGTACTGGATGTTATGCTGTCTCCCATTGTAATAATTGCTAATCACTAGTTCTAGGAACGCTCACAATGCTTTTTATTCTTAGGCAAACACACATATATACGCAAATTCAAACAACCCTGATGTTAAATTATGTCAGGTACAGTTTCATTTGTAGATATTGTTCTTTCCTTCAATTATTGGAAGGAACAAAAATTATATGCAGCTAACTCTGTGTTCTTCTATGAACTAAGGTTGCTATGCTTGTCCACGAACTGGAGAAAATTGCTGGTTTGAAGGTTCCTCTATTGATTTGTGGGGATATGAACTCTCTTCCTGAAAGGTTAGTCCCCTGCTGGTATTCATAATTTATGTGTTTCGAATGTATGAAAAGTTTGTAAATTTATTTTGGAAAGTAAGTGGATATTGCTGGTAAACCTAGCATTTCAGTCAGGAAAGAGGAAAATCTGATTCTATTTTTTATGAAAATCAATACAAGTGCACACTTCTCCAAATAAATCACAGTCAGTTTTCCATGTTCTCCAGTCCAAATGTTTTTCTGTCATGAGATGCTGTCCTGACTCATTTTTTTTTTTTGGGGTCTAGTGGTCATGGATAACTGACATGACAAGTGTACAAATTAACATAGCAATTGAAAACATGAAACGTTGGTGTGCGTGTTAGATGAGGAAACATATGTATAGGATTAGAGAGTTTAAGTTGTCCATTTAACGTCTTTCCAGACGTTTGTGATATCAACTATTGAAGTTATTCTATTGATACCAATCGGCCTTGGGTCGAGAGGTAGTGACCTGGCTGGCTTATACAGCAGGTCATGGATTCGATTTGTCAACATCTCCCCCTGCTGTAGATAAAGTAAAGTTATGCCTTCCATGAGTTTACTTAAAACTCTTTCCTGGTTCATTATTAGTTTTCCGGCTATAATTTGCCATATAAATAAAAGGGCATGTTTTGGGCCAGAATCTTCTCAATCCATGGGCATAATAATTTTCCAGCATTATAACATCTGATTTTGTAATTTATCATCTCAGTGATCCCTATAAATTTCTAGTCAGAGGCAAAATTGATTCTCCTCATCCGAAGAAAGAAAATGATCCATTTGGTGTATATCGGCTTCTCAATCTTCAGCATTCATTGTCTCTGGTGAGGTCCTATGCATCCTTGATTTTATATTTATTATATATATGCTTTGTTTCTCATTGCTTTAAGAGTGCCATGAATTAATATTTTCATCTCTTATTTTGGACATATGTAACGCTATCCATTTTTCTTCTTTATCCTTTATGTTGAATTAATTTGTAGCTGGGTGAAGGTGCCATAATAGTATCATGTGTTAGATTCTGTTTCTTGCTTTAAACCCTTTTGTTTTGTTTTTTTGGTCTATGAATTGTGATGGTAACAGAAGCTAAATTTTGCAGTGGTTGCTGATGTTTTTAACATTATCATTGTGTTTAGCTGTTCACCTATCATTATTATCATGTTTGCTAAGGAAAGGTTTTTTTTCTCAGAAAAGTGCATATGCATCCTTATCTGTCTCAGAACGGGTTGGAGAACAGCAGTTGAGGAATATCAATAAAAGCAACCGTGAGCCCTTATTTACCAACTTCACATCAGTATTCTCAGGAACATTGGATTATATTCTCTACACAGGTATACTTACTGAGTTTTCATGGCTTTTACCCTTAGGAAAAAAAATGACTCATCTGAGAACTTGCATTTTAGAGTTTGTCACTCACTTTGGTCTAATGATTATCTTTATCATGTTGGAATGATTACAGCCATGGTAATTAATCAACTTTACTGCCTATAGCAAGATATGTAAGGAAGGGAATGCTTTTTTTTTTTTTTTTTTTTTTTTGGCGCATTTCTCTGCAGTCTCATGATAGCCATGTGGATTTTTAACGTTTCCTAAAGTTGTCCTCCAACGTTAACCCGTTTTTAGTGTGTATTTGTTAATCCTATGAAAGGTCTAATGTGGAGTCAATTAACTTTAAAGGCAAAAAATGTAATACAGGAATCACAGTTGCATTGTTGATCTCATTGTTAGTTATCCCTAACTACATACTAACAAGCAGCATTTTTACACATTTGCATAAAAGTATTCTACACATTAAGCCTTATAAATAGTTAAAGCTATCTGTTTGAGTTGTTGATTCCTGCAGGAGTTGTTTCCCCACTAACTGCATCTCTATGTTTCCCAACAGATAAAAGTTTGGAGGTTGAAAGTCTATTGGAGCTTCTTGACCCAAAAAACATGGATGTTGGCCTTCCATCACCGTTGTGGTCATCTGACCATATTGCCCTCATGGCAAGTTTCAGGCTGAAACCATCTGGAAATTATCCATCACCTTCCTGGAAATTGCATCCACCGCCACTTCCTTCAAACCCACAGCACAAGCAACGGCATGCATAATAGGCAGATGCATCTGTATAGGAGATTTTTGCAGAATTACAGTTAGGCATTTTGCGTTCATATTGCTTTAATAGTGCACAGTCCAATCACAACCACAGCATCAGGCCACATGATTTTTACAATTGAACCGCTTTTCCGGACCCTTCTTACCTAACATTTTACTCTGGCTTAACTACTAGCAAAGTTACTGGTATTCTACAGCAGAGTTACTCATTGATAAATCTTAGGACCTCTTTTGTTGTCTCACTGGACACTGGGAACAAAATTTTGTAGTATTCTCTTCTGTTAGTCACAGCAGGCACAGTACTCAAGATCAAATATGGGATTAATGATATAGTAAAGTTGAATTTTGCTTCTACAATCCAGCATTTTCTCAGTCCACCGAATATGTTTTGAATACCGAGTCTATCTCAACACCACTAATTTTGGGGGTTATGTTAAATGGTCAATTGTGATATTTTTTGGGTAGTTAACAAGAATGGTTTCCAGAGAATGAGAATTTTATTTGGGTTCTAAGTTCCAGTACCAGGCCACATCTCCGGCCTCAATGTGTGGATTCAAGTCTGAGCTTAGACTTGGGAGTTGGGATCATAAGCCACTCAGGGGTGATTTCCTACAACCAAAAAAGTTTGTGGTGGTTTACTAAACATGTCTGTATGCAGCAGGTTCATAGTTTTAATTGTCTGAGTTGGTACTTAAACCATCCATGCATCCACATTTCTCAGCCTCTCCCCGTGGATAAATGTCTTGCATGCGAGTTTGTTCTTCTAATTTCGGACAATTGCTTTTACGCCATTTTCTTCCGGACCAATCAGCACTAGCTAGGTTGATTATATGATTGCTGGGATCATAATCTATTGGCAGTGTTGGGTTCCGGGAGGCCAAATGCTAAAGCAAAAATGCCCATATAGATGTGTGTGTGCGTGTGGATTTTGTCGTCATATTAGTAGAGAGTTTCTTAATTCTTGGCTCGGATCAGCTGGCCTGCACTGATTGCACGGGGAAAGAAAATACACGTGTACACATGCACGCATCAACGCATAATGGATCACTGAAGTTTAAGTTGAATTGTACAGCAGTGGTGACCTAACCCAGAAACAAAAGAAAAACATTAATTATGGAACCGATCCCTTAATTAATAAATAGAAGGGCACTCTATTGAATTAATTGTAGTTAAGTTTACTCATAAACCTTGCTGCACGGAAACAAGGAAAATCCGAACTATGCCGCGGCACCATCTTGCATATCATAGACGGTAAGTGTTACCAGGGTGAACCAGACTTTGTCATAGTATATATTCATCATATATATCTTCGCTTGCACCATGCGTCATATATAAATATCGGATCCCTCGAGTCAATTTGTACATTAATTAATTAGAAAATCTGTATATTCTCATAAATTTTTACATCAAACAGGTAAATTAGTCCCCCACGTACGTACTAGCACTCTGTCTCAACAGTCATTTCTCAATATATAGAGATCAAAGTGGTAGAAGCTATATATTAAGTACGTAGCAACACCTCTAGCTAGCTAGACGGTGGACAGCTTGTTAACTCCATGGTCATCCTGAAGGGAATTAATGAACTCTATCGGGTGTTTTACTGGATAGACAGCATCCTCAAACTTGAAACTTGGTTTGGAACTTGTTCGCCCTGATCACTAGCATAAGAGGCTAAGCCTTTGCTTGAATAGTTTAGGAGGGCTTTGGTCTGGTGGATGCAGGAATTTGCAGTTAGGGCAGGCAGGAGAGGACCTGCAAAGCATCACCAACATGTGGCACTTTGTGCACACTGTCGCTACCATTTCTTGTTGATCCCTTTCAAAAGCTAACCACGAGGGACGTCGTGTTAGTCCTCCTGAACTCTCATTATCTCTGCTAGAATCCTTGAACAAATCACCCAAACCAGGGATATTGGACCCACCAGAATTGTGCTTTGTAATACGGTCGTTTGCATAGTTTTTCCTTCGTGATTGATCATATGGTAGGTTTAGCTCAAGGTCTAAGCTCATATGATGATCAGGACTTGGTGGCTCGGGGCTTCTTCTTGGATCTCTTGATGTTCTCTTATGGGTCCTTGTATTATAGAAGTAAATCTGCCCTGACTGCATGCGAAAGCGGATAAAAAGATCAAGAGTCTAATTTACAAGTTTAATTACTACAAGTAGTTTTCACACATATGTATGATGATCCAACGAATCATATATGCTATCTAATACCTGAATATCGAGGCATCTTTGCCACTCCAAAGGTAATGGAGTCTCGAGGTGCAGCTCGATTTCAAAGAAGGATTTTGTGCTTTCTGGTTTTAATCTTTTCTCGAGAATCCCTTCAGTTAACGGCTCTTCCCACTTTCTCTTCTTTGATGAATCATCAAGCTCTGGGATTGACGTCTTTCTCCCATTTGGAGATGGGAGTGCTTGAAAAGAGACCATAGCTTCTATCCAAAGCAACTCAACTTTCTCTCACTCTAAGGTACTGAAGTGATCAACATGGTGAAAGGTTTGGCTAGTTATATAGGCCGAGTTTGCGCTGTTTGGTCAGTAACATAACTGCAAGGGAAAATCTAATAGGGAAACTTTAAAGGCAAAAGGGCCTACCTATGCATGACGTGCTATCCAAGTTGGCTCTTTGAATTACTACACAGCTCCAAGCGGATCATAATAAAGGCCAAGATATGAAAGGATGTGAAAACCTAACCAGCTTTTCTTGGTCATTTGTGCACACCCTTGACCTTGGACTACATATACATATAGTTTTACCCAACACACGAGACCTTATAAGTACCTACATGCCATTATGTAATCATCATAGTAGTGCACAAATTTTTTTCAATGGACTATGATACAGAAGCATCATTTCGTCACACTGACTCATGCATTAGTAATGGCTTGAAAATTTTTATGTTTGGGCTGTTTGAAGGATACGGTAGTGAATTCAATGATGGTAATTAAACGATATGTGGTGTGGTGCATGCGATTTACAGCAGTGAGAGACAATTTAATTACAAATGAAAATTTCATGAAGCCAGTACTTATATTAAAACCAACTAGCTAGCCAGCGTTAGGAGTAACAAACAATGTGATAGTATCAGCGTTTTAATCCTACAATATGGAGTGGTATTAATTTGTTTTTGGAGCTGAGCCTGCAAGCCAGAAGACAAGAGCCATGGTTAATTTCTTGGTGCTGGTCCTTAATTAGAGGCGGTGAGTGAAGGAGGAGGAGAGGTGTGGAAAGGGTGTATTAAATGCTGGAAGTCTGTATACGGTTGAAGAAAGGTCTTGAATGCTTATTCATCTTTAATGGATCATAACTCCAACATCCACAATTGGGTCGCTCAAAACAACTACTAAAACTTTTAAAGCTCTCAACACCCTCCTCAGCTAGATATTTAAACGAAAACCACTTCCCATGAACAAATGCTTTTAAAGCTCTTAACAGTCTCATCCATAATGAATAAATCCATGTCCGATGGAAAAGATCGAGCTAGAAATTAATAACACCTCCCCCCCCTCTCTCTCTCCCCCCCATCCACCGGCCTTTTTTTCTTTTTTTACAACCCTTTCAAAGTTCAAACATCAAATCGTCCTAATTTCTTTTCTAGCAATAATATTGCATATAATTATACTTCTCATTGGACATTTACTAATCAATTACATAGACTTGGTTATATACGTATATATGTAGTTACATAGATAGCGTGTGTTAAGGGTTACGCTTAATTAAGTCGTGTTCCTGGCCAAATTTCCTAAAACTAATATAAACTTGAGAGGGACCCAAAAATAGACAACTGCAAGATCATATATCTGCCCTGTTTTATTGCTAGTGGCTAGTCAAACCACAAAAAAACTAGCATCAGTAAATATCTATATATATTTCGTTCAAACGAAGGGTGTTTTAATTAGATACCCACCATATTTATATTGACCATAGAATTTCTAGAAAACTAATTAAGAAAAATAGATCGTAAATAAATAAAAAGGGCCAAACTATTAAAGGCATTGATAGAGAAAAGAAGGGGTTCAAATAAGTCTACCTGCCTTCATTAACTCATCTTGAATTCACTTAAATGCAGAATTCAAGGATGACCATTGAATTGAAACGCCAACACCTCGCTTTCTTCAACATCTTTCTTCGTCGCTTTCCTTTGTTAAATGCTCTCAACCCACCTCTTCTTGCCTTCATTTATGTTTTTCTTTATTTCTATTTCTCTCTCTTCCCCCTCTTCTCTAACGCTTCAAATATTTATTTCACTTCCATAGGATGATGAGAATAACTGTCAGAATCTATTCTTATAACCATTAAGTTACCTGTGAAATACTCTCAAAAAACCAAATCGAATTTTACAATATAACTTGCACTAGGTTAAAGTGTACTACATATACTAACGGCAAATTTAATTAAAAGTGCGAGGAATTCAATATGCCTTGGACCGACAAATGGGTTGGTCTTTCCAACACAGTAGAGTATTGCCAAAAATTAACTTCACAATCCAAATAAAGAGGAATAATTATATATGATCAGATACCTCCGGAGTTCTGGTATATCAATTAAATAGGATCCATTATTATAATAATTATTTATGAGAACTCATAATTATATTTAGTGTTATATGAATAAGGAAGTAATGTATCGGGAATATCTAATATAATCTCTCATAAATAAGTAGCCATCTTTTGAAATCAATAAATTATTAAGCATAAAATTATAAGGACGATAATCCTTTATTAGCACAAGCATACATGTAATAATTGAATGCTGTTTCAAGTTTTTTTTATTTTATTTTTTAACTTTAGTAATAAAAGTATTTTTGAGTTTTCAAACACTTCCAAACTAATATTTCTTTAGATATGATTAAAAAAAACTTTTCATCGTATGATTTAATAAATATAGCTAGCTGTATGTATATATAGATCAGCAGCCTCTCTAAAAATGAATTGAGTGGAAATTTAAAAACAAAAAAAATTATAGGGCAGGATGACACCGACCAAAAATGCTAGTCTTGTAGATAACTAAAACTTGTCTCTTGCTTGTTGGTTCGGGCAAGAGGGTTGATGGGTCTGAAATCTCTGAATAGCTTTGGTTCGCGTAAACATGGATGTCCCTTGCATTGCATGCAATAATTTCTCATCCAAAGGGCTGCCTTAAAGAATAAAGATAAATAATAAAATAAATGAGTAAACTCACCGAATATTTTTTCATTATCCCTGAATAGTTTTAAACCTTTGATACTATATATGACGTAAATGATACTCTCTCTCTCTCTCTCTGTGTATGTATATATATATATATGAGACTATGATAATTGGATGTCCTACAGTTTTTTTTTTTTTTTTCCAAGTGTTGTGGCCGCGGTCTTTTCAATTATATTAATATTAACACAGTGGAGGAGTTTACTTTCATTCCGTAACGAGCTACTACGGAAATCATTGCGTCATCAACTGACAGACTCGGCAATTATATGTTTATTTTTTCTATCAAGAAGTCACGTTGATGGGGTTTTTGGTAAATATATAAGATCTATTTGGCTGGTCCACGTGGTTCTGTACAAACTGTAGTACCTAGGCATTGATAAAGATAAACAGTTTACAGTTGCGGTTGGTGCTGTATTCTTTATTTAATTTTACCATAAAAGATGATTATACATTATATATTATACATAAAACTAAACTACAACTATTAATTTTACTATTCATTCACTATTTTAAACACTGTTAACATACTCATAAATCGTTATTCTTTTCACTATTTATAGCATTTTTATAACACTTTAGTCTTCAATTTTTTTATATATTTTTTTCAATTCAAACTTTAATTGTATTGTGATTTGATCCCATTTTGTTTTAATATTTTTTATTAATTATTTTTATTATTTATTAGTTTAATTTGTCATTTTTTAAAATTCTCTCTTTTTTTTTAATTTCAAATTTTAATTATATTGTGATTTGGTCTCATTTTATTTTAGTTTTTTTTTGTTAATTATTTTTATTATTTAAAATTTATTACTTTAATTTGTCATTTTTTAAAAAAATTCTCATCCAATTAATTTAAAATTATATGCTCCTCAATTTCTCTATACATTTTTTTTTTAATTTCAAACTTTAATTGTATTGTGATTTGATCCCATTTTGTTTTAATATTTTTTATTAATTATTTTTATTATTTATTAGTTTAATTTGTCATTTTTTAAAATTCTCTTTTTTTTTTTTTAATTTCAAATTTTAATTATATTGTGATTTGGTCTCATTTTATTTTAGTTTTTTTTTGTTAATTATTTTTATTATTTAAAATTTATTACTTTAATTTGTCATTTTTTAAAAAAATTCTCATCCAATTAATTTAAAATTATATGCTCCTCAATTTCTCTATACATTTTTTTTTTAATTTCAAACTTTAATTGTATTGTGATTTGGTCCCATTTGGTTTATTATTTTTTATTAATCATTTTTATTATTTAAAATTTACTATTTTAATTTGTCATTTTTTTAAATTATCATCCAATTAATTTAAAATTATATTTACTGGCAATTTTGATTTATTCTTCTATATGTATGGGTTTTGGAATAAATTTTTAGAACATGATTTATTTTTTTTTGAAAAATAGATTTAGATAATTTTTAAATTATAGTGACATGATTAATATATATAATTTATCTAAAATACATTTTTAGATTAAAAATGTATTTTAAATAATTTTTTCATGGTTTTTTTTAAGAAAAAACTCAAATTAGTTAATTAATAGTTGAAAGTCAAATGTGAAAAATAAACAAAAAGATGGTTACTTCCGCACGTGAGGACTCGTATTAAAAAACTAGCTATGCATAGCATAGAAATAAAAAAAAATCATTTAAGAAGGAGGAAAAAAAAGAATTCACATGTTTTATTAATTTGTTTCTTCTTTATATAATCCAAATTAATCAAAATCAAATTTGTAATAATTTTTATTTTAATTTATTGACTTTAAATTTAGTCAATAGATTCATTGTAAGTTAATTTTTTTGTACTATTTTTTGTTTTAAACTCGAAACTTTGAACTCACTTAGTATAAAATATTGAATTGTTGTTTTTTTAGAAATTAACCGTGCAACCATTACACTAAGCATTTACTATTTATTTATTTATTTTTGAATATTTTAAAATTGACTTATTTTAAATTAAATAATTAAAATTATGTTTTGGCTTAACCACTCAATGATTCAAATTAATATAGTTTTTTATTTTAATATTATTCATTCTTTTTTAAATAAATATATAAAAATTAAATTCATATTTTTTCAAAAACTCGATATTCTCATCAGCATTAAATAAAAATAAAAAAAATTATTTGTTCAATTCTATATAAGTTTTTAATAATATTATTTTTGTTTTTCGACCAAATCTTATGAAATACTAAAGCTTTTTCAAAAAAATTTATTTAATTTTCTTTTGAGTTGATAATCCATGGATTAATAAGAATAAATCATTTTTCTAAAGAAAAAATTATGAAAAACACATATAAGAAATAGTTAGATACAAATTTTTTTATTAAAAAATTATAAATAATCTTTTTCACCTTTGATTTCATATGTTTTTATAGATTCACACCATAAACAGTACTATCAACCTAAAATGATTTTTCTAAATAATTTTATATATTTTATCCAACCCGTAGTGTAACGTGAAAAAAAACTAGTATGTATTGATACATATTTATACTCGGAAATAAACTTAAAAAAAAAATAGAAAAGTTGTGTCAATGTGTTTAGATCGTTATCTTGAAGACAAGCTTATTCGTTCCAAAATGAATGTTTTCCTTTTTAGTTTTTAACAAGATTAATTAAGAGTCGTCGATGGGGCCAGCAGGAACGCACGGGAAATGGAGTCGTCACCTAGCTAACTAAAGAGAATTAGAAAATCCTAAACAAATTGGTCCGCATAGATCTCTAGGTATGCGGTTGGTTACATATAAAAAGGATATAATATCTTCGTCATCTCATCCTACCTTTTGTAGGCCGCATCGAATGCATGCAAAAATAAAAGAATGATTTTATTATGTCATGTTTTCATGCCTACTTGAGTAAATTTATTATGTTGAAATGAAATAACATGGTAGTTCGGGATTCAAGTCGGTCCAATACCAATATCCATACCCAAAGAGAAAAGGTGGAGGGAGAATAGATTTTTGACTAATCTTTAGCAAACACAAACCTATATCAATAAGTAGGTGAGTTTCTAAAGATTAAGAGCCTATATTGACATGAACAGAAAGTTACCAACAACATCTCTCACACAAGTGAAAAGCCACAATTGACCTCATATCATGAGTCTAAGAAGTCATCGACAACTTTATTATATAAGTGGAAAGCCATCAACAATTCCATTTCGCTCAAGTAATGAGAAGATAATTGGTTTGAAAGCCATTGGCAACTTCGTCACATAAGTAGAAAGCCACCAACATCTTTATTTCATATGAGTAGAAAAAAGGTAAAATGACTTCGAAATCACCGACGACATCGTCACATAAGTGAAAAGCCATTGACGTCTTCATTTTAGCGATCGAAATCAAATAAAAAATTATTCAAGAGCCATCGACAGTTTCATCCACATAGGTGGGATGCCATCGATAACTTCGTTTCAATCGAACAAGACATCGAACAAAATGCAGGTAAATTGATTTGGAAGCCACCGGTGACTTTAACCATATAAGTGGAAAGCCATCGATAGCTTCATTTTAGATAAATAAAAAAAAGTAAATTGATTTAAAAACTACTTGCGGCTTCTTCCACACAAGTGAGAAGCCATCAGCGAGTTCATTTTAGACAAATAAAAAGTATGTAAATTAATTTGAAAGTCATTAACGGCTTCATCCACACAGGTGGGAAGCCATCAGCAGCCTTTAATTCAAATGAGCATGAATAAAAAAAATTGACTTCGAAGCTACAAGCAACTTCGATCGCATGAGTAGGAAGCCACCAAAAGCTTCATTTTAAACGAACAAAAACTAAGGCAATAATCTCAAATATAATTAGACAAAGCATTTGATAATTCAATCATCCAAATCGTGACATTTTCATCATTTTTGTTTATTATGTAAAACAAATCTTTATAGATTTGAAAGTTACTCAAATGTCATGATAGTGTTAACGATTCCTTTTTGGATAAATTTTACTTCCTTCGATCTCGATGAAAATTGATTATTTTAGTTAGTCGAGAAAAAGGAAGCAATTGTTTATGTCCCTTTTTGGGTTTTGTTCCAAATGTTGTGAGAATGTTACAAGCTCCTCTTTTGAGTCAATTTTACTTCCCCGATGAAGACCGATTATTTGAGTCAATCGAAAAGGAGAAAACAACTGTTTGTGAGCTCTCTTTTGGTTTTGTTGTGTTCGGTTCAATATTCCACAATAGGAATTAGTTATTTCCCTAGCTAGTACAATATTCATGTTCCTCTACCAACAAATAGAAAAAATGCAAAATATATAGTCTATAACCTTAAGTTGTTCCTACCAAACAACAAATAGCTAATAATATTTTTATGTTTTATTTTGTCTAGCAATCTCATATCGTTCTAGTCTCTAAGTCTTGTTATATTTGCTGAAGGAAAAATCTTCTTTAAGAGTGTTGGGATGTTTCCAAAGAATGATGGCAACATTGGAGTCATGCCTAGCTTTAGCTTCGAGACAATATCTCGTTGAGGGACAAATTGTAGCCATGGTGGCTTCATCAACGTGATTACAATGGTTTGAATACCATGATAGCTCAAAAACTTTCAATCTCATGTCGAATTTCTATTAGTGTAGGTGTCCAAGATCCAACTTTTTTTGGAGGGTTTGAGCTATTGTAATGTTGTATTTTTATATATTAAAAAAAATAAGAAGTCTTCCTATTAATTACGGTCGTTTATATTTTGATAGAATTAGATAAAAGTCTATATGATATGCATTTCATTAATGATTGATCAATTGATATGAGAAGAACATTTATACATTTAAACAATATTATTCAATATCTCAAGTCATAGTATTGTCAAATATAACTATAGGGTTACAAATAAGATGGTGAAATATAACGTAGAATTTTAATTTTGAGAGTGTGAACCTAAAAAGCAAAAATAGAAGAAATGATTCGGTTTATACTTCTATACTATACTTATATAATAGGATAGTTTTGGATATGTAATTATATTTTTAATTAAATCAATTTTATTTTTATAAAACAATTGAATCTACAATCTATTATTTTGTCATTTTTTCTATTTATGTTAATTTAATCAATCATCCTTATAATTTGATATCATAATAAAAATGTTCTTTGACTTATGTGAATATATCAATCATGTTCAAAGCATGTAACAAACAAATTTTTTTTATGTTCAAAGCATGTAACAAACAAATTTTTTTAAAAAAAAATCATACCAAACCTTACCTCTTTCTTTTCAAAACCTTACCCTACCCTCCTCTCCCTCTCTCCGGTGACTCCCCTCCTCATCCATCGAGATTTATATTTTCGATGTAATATTAAGTTATGTGCACAATTATTATGTTAATTTAAATAAAAAATTAACAAAATCATAGATTAAAAACTCAATCAATTTATACAAATAAAATCATTCAATTAAAAAATATTGATTGAAAAGTCGTCATGTTATATATATAGAGATAGAGTGAGTTTTTTCCCCTAAAAAATATTCGAACATGTTTATTATATGATGTCACCCACCCACGCGTTTGCTTGACCTTGTTCTCTTGACCTGCTAATTAATTTTCATCTCTTGATGAATCCGTACATATGTGGACGCAAAGGAAATTTGTCTAAAATTTGCTTGAAGTAAGTGCACAATAGTTAGCATGACATTTTTAAACTTTTTTGAACGCAGTATGATCTAGACGCAGAAAATGCTGTACCCTGTCAAAGTTTGAGCTTGAAGCGATGACCTCATGTCTTGCAAACCATAAAGTTTATATTTATAATTTCTTTTAACTAGTACCATATTGTTTAATTAGTGTTGAAAATATAGATGGACCCAATGTGGTGGGTTTCTATTTTATTGTCTAGAAAGAGCAACCTTGACAGGCATGTAATTCAAACCCATTAATTTGGGGTGCTTAAACAAGTCTACAAAATTACTAATATTGTCGGCATATTTTATGATTAAGAAGAAGGATTTGAACTAACAGCTATGAATCGAAGTGACACTTCAGCCATTCCAGTGATAGAAAGAAGGACAGCAGCATTAAATTGTATAGAGTACTTCATTTTTCATCTACAAATATTACCAATTTAGGCAACGAAGCATTGCGGGGCAGCAAAGATGATGGACTCTAATAAGAGTAAAATGATAGTGACCCAAGTTAGGTGTGGATTAGTTGGGCTTAAATTTTCCTGCCATCTCGTAACTCCCACATACCTTCCAATACTGTTGGTTTTGGGTAACCATCATTGAAGGTTTCTGCTTCTTTTGAAAATGAACCTTCAGACGGAGAGAAAGCATATACATCATACTCGAATATTAATATCCAATTTGATTTTGCCTGCCATGCTGTATGCAAGGCATCAACATCTTACAACACGCTCTTGGCAGATTAATATGACTATCTGATCAACGACTTTTTTTCATTGAACGATAAGATTTTGATCCTTTGCACAATGAAAAACATGTCCTTAATTATTTGCATGTCGATCAGAGTACTAAAATGAACTAGACAATATTAGAAAACGTGGTTTTCTAACATAACAATCTAAGTACTACTCGAATGATGCTGTCTGATACTTGTCCATGACGTAACCTGCAGGAACTGGCCATCATAGATGTCGAAACTATTGAGGTGTCCCGTTAGAATCCGGCGTGTATAGAGTGAAATTCGGCAAGGGAAAATTTTAGATCCATAAATTAGGTTCACCGATCCCCACAAGTTTAATTAGTATCTTGAGTGATGTGTTGAACTTTTGTTAGTGTGATAATTTTATTGAATTCAAAGGGTAAGTTAAGCAATGGTAATTTCATCCGACTAACTAGATATCCACATCTTCCAATTTGACTGAATCAATTTTTTATCCAGTTTGATCAGGTTTTATTTACCCGATTTCACTTGAATCGGAGGTAGGGCGGGTGAAGGGTTGACCGACCAGATATTTTGCATTTTTTTTTATTTATATATATATATATAATTACTATAAACCCTATAAACCAAACCTCTTTTTTAAAATTTCTACTTTTTAACTAAATTTTGCTCTATAAATGATAAACATTCTTTATTAAAATAGATTACTAATAATGTTTAATGACATAGGTTATGTTTTTAAATCATATCAAATATGAATATTTCAAATTTGATTTTCAAAAATAAGATTATTAGGTATATGAGATTCTTTACACTAATTTATATAGATGTGATTTTGTTAGATTCTACCAAAAAAAATATATATCTTAAAGAAAGAATTTTTTTTGAAAAAAAGGTCGGGCATCTGACAAGTGCAAAAAACACCTTCATCTGACCTGACCTGTTACCATCAGAAGGTATGTTTAGTGGGTAAGAAGATTTATTCTCCTTTTATCTTTATAAGTTCGAACTTTGAGCCAATGTTAAGGAGAATAAACTGATATAAGATTTGTGCTCTTGAAATTATAGAAATAGGATAATAAATCGATGTAGGATGGGTGCTTTTAAAATTATTTTGGAGAGAAGATTTAATCTCAATTGATCTGATCAAATGAATATTTTTTTTAACCGCTAAAAAAAACATTGCATTTCGACATTGAATGAAAATTTTGCTTTTGGCTAAGGGATTAAAATTCTTTATATATATGATTTTGGCCTAGATAAAAAAATTAATATTATCCTATTTTCTTTAGGTGTCGTTTGATTATTAAAAATGAAGGATTCAAAATAAAAATAGAAGAATTAGAATAGAAATTAAAGAATTAAAATAATATTTTCATTTCAATACTTTGTATGGAATATCAATAAGAAATTGAATAAAATTTAAAATTTAGTTTTTAAGATAAATAAAAATAATAATTAAAAAATAATTTTATTAACTATAATAATAGTAAAAATGATAGAAGTAATTGAGATGGTAATGATTATTGAGGAGTGATAAGAGGTGATGGTATTTGTGGTACTAATAATATAGTGATAGATTTTTAAAAAATTGATATCACCGTCATAAAAAGCAACAATAGAAGAAGAATGATAATTGTTGTGGTATAACAAAAGCAATGATAATTGTTGTGGTATAACAAAAGCGATGGTAGTAATAGAAAAAGAATGGTAACGAAATTATTAATTTTTTTAAAAAAATTATCACCACCATCGTTAGTAATGGTAAAAATAATTAATATATAATAAATAAAAATAATATATCATTATTTTGAAGAAATTCTTAATTTTTTTTTAATTTCTAATTTCTTCCTAAGGATCAAACTATGTATTATTTTTATTCTTATTTCCATTACATTCTCTTTGATCAAATATTTATAAAATAAAAATAAGATTTTCATTCTCTCTCTATTTTCACCGTCATATTTTTTATTATCAAATAACACTTTCGGGTTTAATTCAAGATCTATTTAAGGAAAACTCTGAATCTCAACCTTCGGGACGTCCAATTGTATTTTTTTCCTTGGGGAAAGGACTAATACTCTCAAAAAAAAAAAAAGCAAGGTCTTTATGAATGCCAGACTTTCTGATCCAATCATGCAAGTAAGAACTTAAACTCAAAAGTACATGAGCTTACATCCGAAAATGAAAAAGGAAATGGGCCTATAATTTCCATGGAATGGAATACATACAAGAACATGAGTGTAGACAAATATTCCTGAATATTATAAGAAAGAAGGAGTCCTTCCCTCTTTCAATTCCTGAATTAATATGTGTCTCTCTCCCACCCCCAAAACAAAACAGAACAAAAAATAAATCGAGAAATTATTTTCTTATCTCTGGTATATCGCTTCTTCACCTCACACCATGTAAGATGGTATGCTTCGATTCCAAAGGAATTCGTTTTGTCTCCGGCAAGACGAGCAAAACAAAAATTGCCATTACCACAATCCAATTTCCGTATGATAGGAAGATCGCAAATTTGAAGTGATACAGCGTTCACCAGAAGAATTGTGACACTACAAAAGCAGCGAAATTTACAGCAACGTCTATGCTTGGGCCTGTTGAACTCATTTTCGATGGGAATAAGCCAGGTTAAAGGGCCCCATGAACAACTAAAACCAGCAGCGTAGAAGCCCATTAAAACGAGTATTAGCATGCCATAACCGTGGGAGATAGGCTTGGTGCCTGCAACGCTTGCTGTAATACCCAGCACAGAAGCCGACGCAACCTTCATTTAAATAATAATAATGTAGCTCCGAGGGTCAAATTATATAATGTAATGTAAAATTTGCCTCGAGTCATATGTATATGAAATTAAATTACAACATTGTTTAGTTAAATGCTAATCGTTCACTCCAAAAAAAAATATAAAATAAAATGAATGTAAGACGAATGAACCTTAAAGTCCGACCAAATGTTGAAATCTTCTGTCATGCCGATCCATAACAACAGCAGCCAGCATACACAAAGATTGAATAAACGTTAACTAATTCTAGAATGGCAGTGGCTGTTAGAGCATACTCACTTCCAAAGACAGCTGATGAAAAATAACAAGTGCATGGAATGGAGGTGCGCTAACTCCGGTAATTCCCAAAAACATCAAAACAAAATCATTATTTACTATTCACTTTATTACGTACAAGATTATTTACTCAACTCATTTTACTATTCACCGAAGAAGACTTAGAAGACTTATTTGCGTTATTCATTTTACTATATTATGGTGTTGTTGTAATTTTTAAAATTTCTCAAAATATTTGATATGCAAGTTGTCGTAGCATTATATTTTGGTATTTTATTTTTTAAAATATTTTTGCTTCAATTTCGAACTTTATTTCCCAATCTTGGTTTTGTTTTCAATGATTTAATTTTTTTAAATTATTGATATTCTTTTTAGCAAAAATTATAGAAAATCAATCATTATTTTTTTAAGTTTTCCCACAAAATAGAAAAAAAAAAGATTTGTTTTACATTTTCAAATGAACATATAGTTCATATTATAATATTCTTATTGTTTAAAATCAATTCCTTCAATTTGTCATTTTTTTATGAAATTTTTCATCCAATTAACTTTTAATTTTAATTTTTATAAAATTTTATTTTTTGACAAATATGATTTATTTTTCTATACATGGATGTTGGAGTTAGATTTTAAAACATGATCTTCTTCTTTCTTTCTTTCTTTCTTTTTTTAAAAAAAAAAGAAAAGAAAAAAGGTAGTTTGTATGATAAATTCTTATGATTTTTAAATGAGACTAGCATGATTGTGTCGTGTGTTTGTGTGTATAATGTAAAGATAAAAAGTGCATTTTAAATTATTTATCTTATAATTTTAGAAAAAAAATAATAATTAAAAGAAAAATAAGAAAAAAGAAAAGGAAAGAATTCCTCTACGTGCAAGGTATGAATACAAGGAATAGCCACGTATGGCCTAGAAACAGAAAAAATATTTTAAAAAAATGAAATTCATGTGTTTTATCTATACTACAGAGTACTAATAAAAAGATAAATCTTGGACAAATGACATATATTTTCCTACTCCTTATAGTTTTTTATATTAAAAAAATTATTAAAAAATAAATTAACAATAATAAAAATTCAACTAAATCAAATAATCACTTTAGAAACTAAATAATATTACTAAATCACACAGACATCAAAAAAAAAAACTTATATTAAATAAATATAAAAAAATATTTGTTTGTAACGTCAATAAATGATAATTTTAGTATATTGATTATAAAAATAATTATAAATTTAAAATGAGAGATTTGAACTAAATTATATTTCCAACAATGTAAAACATAAATTAAATTAAACCATATTATAAAATAATATCTTAACATATGCAGCAAAAAAAAATATATATACATATATATATATATATATTGAATCCTCCATCAATGATGCAAGTTTGTTGCTAAAAAAAAAAAAAAAAAGGTGTAGCAACCGCAACTGAAATCATCGGGCGAGTCCCATTCTTACCGGTTACGACCTCTTAGATATGGTCACAAAAAGCTTCTTGATGAGCGAGCTTTGTTAACTCCATTCTTACCGGTTACGACTTCTCATATATGGTCACAAAAAGCTTTTTGATGAGTAGCTTTGTTGACTCACTACAACAAATGGAGTCGTTTTGTATGACGTTTTTAGAAAGGATCACGAGATTAATGAATTGAAATGACATCCAATTTAGATGGTGATATATATATATATATATATATATATATATATATACTGTATATATATATCAAATTCTCCATCAACGATGCAAGTTTATTGCTAAAAAAAAAAAAGGTGCAAGCAATCGAAATCATCAAGCGAATCTCATTCTTACCGGTTACGACCTCTTAGATATGGTCACAAAAAGCTTCTTACTAAGCAGCTTTGTTGACTCATTACAACAAACCGAGTCATTTCGTATGATGTTTTTAGAAAGGATCACAAGATTAATGAATTGCAATGACATCCAATTTAGATGGTTGTCACGATCAAATTTTATGTTATATATATATTTGTTTCTTGTTGTTTATTTGGAAAAAAAAAACTCGTGATTCCGACTTTTTATTTTTTATTTTTTTGTAGTATTTTATATTCTGAAACTCTTTTCTCTAATTCTATCTCTTTACTTTTTTTTTATTAATTTAAAATCAGTCTTTATTTTTTTCAATCAAAACCCTAATCAAATTGTTTTATCGCTCTTCAAATCAATTCTAAATTAATTGAATGATGCTAGTAGATGTACACAATGTCAGTGATAAAAAAGAAGAATCCTTAGTTAAGAAAATAATGTCTTTAATCTATAAGAATGAGTGCTTTGAATAAGCTTGTATATTTTGCTTCTAGCTTTGTATTCTTTTTGTTATGTTATTATTATTATTATTATTGCAATAGGGTTTAGTTACTACCAGTTCCTTTTGATTGAATGAAAGAAATCATCAGTTATATGATTTTGATTGAATTATATATGAAATATGTTGTCCAAAATTTAAGAACAATAAGACCAACTAGCCCGAGAATTAAGAACATTAAGTTCCAATTTTAAACGAAAGTTGGATTTGATATAGCAATTTTTTTAATTTTTTTTTTAGCCAAAGAGTATATTAATAAGACGCAAGGGAGCCAAAAAGCCCACTAGGAGAAAAACAAGTTATACGAGTGATGAAAAAAACAAGCAGATTGAGAAATGAAATCATAAAAAAGGAGAGCAAAACTAGACTAGTGGAGGCCCAAAATACAATCTGGCGAGCTCAAATTGGAAGCATCAGGGAACCAGCCATTCAAATTGAAAGCATCAGCTAATATGGGTAATGATCTGTCCGTAGAAATGGTGTAGTATAATAAAGCTCTATCATGGCTAGGGAATCTTCTGTGGGCTGATCTTGTTGGAGCGGGTATAGAGAGACTTTGTGCTCTCCAGTTTATTGTTGTTCTGGGCTTCTAGGCCCTGTTTTGAAAAAAGAAAAAAGGAAAAATGAAACCAAATGGGCTCAAAATGAATTAATCTCCAAAAGTACAAGTCCGAAAATGCTCCAAATATTCTATAAGAGAACAATTCTTCTAGATAGCTAGAGAAGGGAGGAAAAAAAAAATTACGATAAAAAAGAAAAAAGAAGGTTGGTGCTTATATTTGCTTGAACATGTTAAAAATGGAAGGCTAGGATTTGTTGGGCCAAAGATGAAATACAATTACTGCCCTCGTACAGACCGACGCCATTACCAATGCTTCTCCCACACCTCATCCGTTTTGTCCTACGGAATTCCTCGCCTCCGGCAGCAAAACCACAACAAAGGCTGTCATCACGAAAATCCAACAGCCACAGAATAGAAAAAGGCCGTATTTCAAGTAACATAGCATGGATAAGAAGAACTGTGATAGTACAAACGTAACAAAAAATCCCACAGCAATTGGTTTATGCTTGATCTTTGGCCCAACTCACACAACTTGTTCCTCGTCTGACAACACAACACATCAAAAGCTGTAAAAGAAGGTCTCATTATATTTATAGTAAATGGAATTAATTATTTTTAAAAATATAGTCCGAGAAAAACAGTATACCGTATACATACAGATCTTCTGTAACAAACTGTACGGGGGTATGCTGTTATTTCTTACATTTGCGATTAAACGGATTAAATATGAGTCCTTTATAAAAATTAAATATTGTATTTAACAACAGACTAATAATTTTCATACAGTTAAAAAATATCAAATATGAATGGCTTTGTTTATAGAAAGGTATTGAGATAAAAAAACTTTCAAAAAATTGTCTATAAATTGGTTAATATTTTATAATCTTTGCATTACCATTCAATAAGCAAATATAGTTATTGAAAAATGTTTAAAAAATAAAAAATTCAACGCATTAAAATGACAAGAAAAATACAAAATAAATATTCTAACAGTTTTTGTTCAATCCATTAAAATTAATCAAATTATTCAAGTCCATTGGTGAATGGCGTTTTGTATAAACAGTTTATGTAATAAAAACTATTTTCCTTTATAAAAAATAAAAAATAAAATTATACACAACCATAATTGTCGATGGTTCTGTTATACCGAAATTATATTTGGACTCAATTGATTGAACACTACAAAAAAGGTTGTAAGTAGTAAAACATTTGTTGTTAAGTCCAGCGCATTCTGATTGGTTGAACCAGTGAATCAGTAAACTAGTCATGGAAGCTGGGCTAATTTTATAATTGGGCCACTATGTTTTTTTCCCCTGTCAAGCCCAAATCAAAAACCAGAAAACGGGTGGGGTTTCTTTTTCAAACTCGATCTCCTGGATGGCTGGATGTTGGTTGAATCAGCAACCATATCAAATAAATTCTAACATATTAATCTACAGAGATTCATCTGGTAAGAGAACAAATGAGTAGGAGAAAAGAGATCAAGATTTACTTTTGCTAACATTTCTTCCAGCATCTACATGAGCATGTCTGAAAACCATATTTTGTTAGGCCAAGATTTCGCTACAACTGCCTCGAACAAACCGACCCCAATACCAGTGCCCTTCCCACACTGCATACATCGAGTCTAAAGGAATTCCTTTTGTCTCCGGCAAGAAAAGCATGACAAAAGTTGTCATCACTGCAATCCAACCAGCATAGAATAGGAATGTGCCAAATTTGAAGTGGCATAACATGGTCAAAAAGGTTTGTGACAGCACAAACGTTGTAGCAAAATTCACAGCAACATTTATGCTTTGGCCTGTGGGTCGAATTTTCATAGGGAATATTTCACTCGGCACAAGCCAGCTTAGGGGACCCCAAGACCAGCCAAAACCAGCAGCATAGATGCACATTAAAACAAGTAATAATATGCCGCAGCCCTTGGAGATCTGCTTCGTGCCTGAAACGCCGGTAGTGACAACCAAGACTATTGTCACCGCAATCTTCAAAAGAAAAAAATGATAAGTTAAAATTTGCCTCACGCTAATGTACATGTGTAATTAATGAACATATTGGATGGATTCATACCTGGCAGATGAACATTTGAATCCCTCCAATTAGGAACAAAAATCTTCGACCATGCCTATCAACCATACCAGTTGACACAAGGATTGAACCAAGATTAACTAATCCTAGCACAATAGCTGCAATTAATGCTGAATCGCTTCCAAAGCCAATTGATTGAAAAATAACTGGGGCGTAGAATGCAATTATGTTAATCCCGGTCAGTTGTTGGAAAAAAGGGATAGCAATTGACATAACAAGGTGAGGCCTATACTGCTTCTCAAATATGGCCAGAAAAGGTTTCTTATCAGCATCTTTGGCCATTTCATTGAACTTAATAAGATCAGCTAGTTCAGCATCCACGTTACTGTTGATTCCTCGGACTTTAATCAGAGATTGTCGAGCTTGTTCAACCTTGCCACGCTCCACTAGGCTACTCGGCGTATCTGAGATGAAGAGTGTACCTGTTGTCATTATAGCAGCAGGTACTACGGCAAGGCCAAGGGAGAAACGCCAGCCCCAGCTATGCTTCGCCATGCCAAAATTTATGCAATTGGCTGCTACTACCCCGGTGCCGATAAAAAATTGGAGCCCCGTGCTGAATGCACCACGCCATTTTGGAGGCGCTACCTCTGATAAGTAAACAGGAGTTGCCTTCATTTAAGCACAGGGGTGGTAACATTAGTGAAAATCAACCAAATTGTCAAATTCTAGGTAAAATTATATTTCAAAGGCCTCTTCAACATGAGTTTCAACTCTCTAATGATCCAAGTTCAAGAAAGGATCCACTAACCTGGGTAGTGAAACCAACCCCCAAACCAAGCGAGATACGGCCTAGTAGGAGCATGGCAATATTGGCAGCGCCGCCATTGATGGCAGCACCGGCAAGGAAAGTGCAGCCACCGAGCACCATGGTGTTTTTGCGGCCCACTGCTGCCGTGAGGCGGCTAGCTACAAGGGAAGAAGCTAACCCTGCTATGTAAAGTGATGATGTGAATGCTGTTAAAACTTGGCTATCAAATTGACAATACATGTTTGTTTTTGCCTCTGATGCCTTTCTGAATACCTCAGGGAAGAATTTCTTGAGAAATGGTGCCATTGTTGTTACTCCTCCTGTACAGCGATGGAATATTAATATTGAGAGCAGTTGATTTGAGGTACTTTCCCAAGATTTTTATGCCTCGTTCCTATTGTTTTTTGCTTTTTTTTTTTTTTTTTTTAAAAAAAAAACTTGTAAATGCCTCTGAAGTAATTTCGATATTACTAGCAATACATTTCTGTTCTTGAAATCAGTATCACCGTAATAAAGTAGTACGTATTATTTTTTACAATATAAAAGACCTTTTCGTGCTTTTCAATTTGGAGGTTTCAGCCTTCAGGGTTTGTTTTTAAAGCTTTTTAGCTGTCTGGAAGAGGTTATCCATCTAAATGAGAAGCAGAAATAGCAGTATAGTACGATCATTATTTAAGACATAAGCCATATTAAAATTATTTAAGCAGAAAATCGTGTGTATCTAATTAAATTAATTTGAAACGGACTTGAATGCAACTACCAATAGTCACTCCAACACATAACGTACCCAAATTCAACCTTAGTTTGATGGTTTGGTTTAAGGATGCTTGACTCTCAATTTTCTATTTTTGGCAGTTTGCGTGTTGTGGGTTCCAACAGTCAACTGCCACTCTACAAGTCACCGTTTCAATATTTTTGTTATTTTGTTTTGTTTTGATGAACTGTTGAATCTCTTAACGCACCACGAGCTTTTGGAACCAAACCAAACCTCAGCTGCCTAAAGTATGCACAATCGAATACCAGCTAACTACGCACCTTCCTGCAGCTTTCACAGCCTCTGCTCAAATTCGCTGGACCAGGTTCGTGATTCCCGAATTTCTACTTTCTTGACAATGTTTTACAAAGGTTGCATAAATCCAGGTTCAAATTACCGAGAATTCGCATTCAAATTTCTGGCCTCTAACCATGCGCGAATTTGATTTTAAAACAGTACTCAACAAAGTCGTTAATGCATAACATCAAACCAGATCATGAAATCCTCCAGTATAGCATATTTGTTAATTGATATAGATTATTGACCCCATAACGAACATTAATCTTAAAAACATGAATAGAAAGTACCTGAAATTCCTATATCATAGCCGAAAATGAGACCACTTGATGCAGCAACGAAGCATGTGATCACCACTGATAGCGTTATCTTGCCGTTAAAGCCACTGGCAGCCGCAGGTCCATTGGCAACAAAACCTCCTCCGGCCATCTCCTCCTCTTCCTCGGAGTCCAAATGAACAAGGGAGGAGCACCTACGTAAGTCAAGAAAGGAAGAGCTAATCTTATTAATTTACTCCAAGGCTACTCAGCAACCAGCACCAGCTACGAGATGTCTTTTATAATCAAATGGTGGGCGCTCCATGCTATAATCATACAGTATGACAAAGACATGGAACAGAAAAGTTTTATGTTTGAAAACTTAACCACGAGCCAATTATATATTACATTTACACCTATCAAAGTTAATCTACATGTTTAAACGTCTACGTTATGGAGCAACCTGTCATGAGCGTATTGTTAGTATTATTTTGGCTGCAATTACTGCTGGTAGGTTTCTCATTCATTCTCTCTATTTTCTAATTGTAAAGCGGTAAGAAAAACTCACATCATGGTGAAAAATATACAAAACTAATGAATAATTTGACCTAATTGATTAAGAGTTAAACATTAAAAAAAATCAAAATCTGGAAATATTCATAACATAAACTAAATAAAGGATACTAATAAATCAATTTTATTTTCTTTTTAACAAAAAGTACGAAAAAATGGCTCAATCCATTGTTATATAATTGATTATGTCTTTAATTTATCATTATATTTTTAATTGTATCTGTTATTTCGATATATAGTATATAATTCTCTAATATGTTCTTCTATCAAGGTTTTCAAGGTTTTTTTTATCTAAATTGATATAATTATATTTTTCATTAAGCTAAATATAAATATAAATTTGATTTAAAAAAATAAATCTTTATTTTTAAAATGTCAATGGTTGAGTAATTTTGAATTTTTAAAATTTTTCAAAAAGATGCAATCTTGGTATGACATGCAAATCAAATCACTAAAAAGACTTTAAAGTACACATTCAAAGTGAATTTTGATATAAAAAATAGCTCTTAACAGCTTCAAGGTCACCACTGTTAACTTGTGAACATTAATCATACATCTTGATCAAATGTTATAGTATGTCAAAAATATACTATGCAATTTTTCTTTTTAATATGATTTTTTGAATTTACATATATCAATTTAGTTCATATACTCATTAATTAGACATCTCACGTCATTATTGAATCATAGTTTTATTTTTTTACCGTGTTTGCTCAATACGAGAAAGTTTCGGTATTTTTAAAAAATTCATTGCACTTTAGTGATCTTTCTTTTTTAACAAGAACTAGTTTATTGCTACTGTTGTAAATAAATGATTGATGTACGAAACAATTGGGAAAAATTTAGACCATTGAATTTGAATTTAAGTCACTGCTGTCGTGTGGGTGTGTATATATATATATATATAACGTAATAAACAAACTTTTAAGCATTTAAGTTCACGATCCCTTTTACCATGTATGAATGCTAGAACCCCTCGTGGGCGATCTCCTGAAGGACTGGTGGCAGGTGGTTGTTGGTCACGAGGAAATCGTACCTATCTTCCCTTCTTCCATAGTTTGGGGTGGATTAGGAAACCGGTTCTTTTGGCGTATATGGCGGCTAGTTAAACGTTTTTTTTCTTTTCTTTTCTTTTTAATGTTTGATAAAATTAAAAATTAAATATTAAATTTATTAAGTATTAAATTTTAAATGTTAAATATTAAATATGTTGCTAACAAATCTTTTAATGTTTACTAAAAATTAAATGCTAAGTATAATAAGATTGTTTGATAAATACTCGTTAAAATTATTTGATGAATATTGTTGTTGAACATATTAAGACTATATGTATGATAATTTTAATCTTACTTTCAAACAATATTATTTGTTACTTGTTTACTAATTACAACAGAGGAGGATAGAGCCAGGGATTAGTACGCAAGCTTCTACGCCAAATCAGGTTGTATAATCTTTTATATCCTTCTTCTTGTGTCTACTCTAGTTATTCTTCTGCCTCTACTAATTCATGTTGTTATATCTTCCTTCTTGTATAAAAAAAGTGGTTTCCTCTTTAGACGTTGGTTATCTTTCTAATTCAAAATTGGCATTTTAATAAAGAGAAGGTTTCTTTTTTATTTTCTTTTTCTTTTTAATCTACTTTCTTTCAATGATTTTAATTTTGGTTTTTTTAATAAAAAAGAATTTTTTTTTTCTTTTGTACAATATAGATTTCAAGCTTAAAAAGATCAAAGGGAAGACCGAGGAATAGATGCTTAATAAGCAGCTTAAATTCACGAGGAAGTTACTTCATCTAGAAAAAGCTTGGTAATGCTCTTTGGATTTAGTTTTTGTTGTAGATCTTTTTTTTTTTTTTTTTTTTTTTTTAATGATCTCTAAATATATGTTATAAGAATATATGGAGACTATATAATTATATTTAAAAAAAAGTTTAAAATTTTTTAATTGAGCATGTTAATAAAAAAAAGTTTTAAATTAAATACTTTAACTTGCCTAATTAAGTAAATTTTTATTGAATTTAAATTTTAAATACGAGATTATTTAGATTATCAAATAAACTTTTTATATTAGGTATTACAACTTAATTTTTTAAGCTACTTAAATAAATTATAGCAAGAGATAAAATCTACAAAAATATATATAGATAGAGAGAGAAAGATGAGGGAAATTATAGAAAATCAAGAGTAGTAGGCCAACTGTGCCATTAATCTTCCACAAAAATATATACATAGAGAGAGAGAGAGATGAAGGAAATTATAGAAAATCAAGAGTAGCAAACCAAATGTGTCATTAATCTTGATACATCATGTGTAGATTTTATTTTCGAGTAATGCTAGGGAAATTGAATATTTTTTTACTAAAATTTACCTACTAAATGACGTGACATCTATTATAAAAAAAAATCAAATTATACAATGTCAGTCTTAGTAAGTTTAACAGGATAAATTATATTTAGAAAATTGAGTAATTGATAAAACACCAATTCATAATACCATGTCACTTAATAAAAAAATTTAAATATCTTTAATATACATATATATATATATGTTTGTATGTATGTATGTGGTGGCGTCTAGCTTATGATGCATGTCCTGTCTTTTTCAAATCGCTGAGCTGCACACGGGGCTTGGCATGCAATGACCCAGCTTGCTTTCTTTTCTTCTTTTTAACTTCTATTTTCCTAATATTTACTGTATACTTAAAATTATTATTTTTCCAGTAATTAATAGTTATTTTTTTCATGCAGTGTCACAAAAAATAACAATTATTTTCCATGATATTTATTTATTTATTTTGTTTATTTATTATTATCAAAGGTGATTGTTATTGTAAAAAAATAATAATTGTCTATAAAACAGAATAAAAATCAATAATTAATTATCAAATATTTTGACATGAATAAAATTTGATATCTGATGAAAGACGTATAATTTTTAAAATAAACTACGACGATAACATTGAAATAGAGTTGATATAAGATCGGTTTTTTTTAATAAAAATATCAGCATTATTTGTGGATTAAAATTTAATCAGGAACAAAATGGTCTAGACAACAAGGATATAATAGTTAATAATTCATCATCTTTTTTGTCATGTGCGCTTCAAAATTCATTGTGATTCTTCAACATGTATAAAAATGTGGTTTCTTATTCTCCTGAAGTAGTATAAACACATCAACTAATGCATTGCTTTATCTTATTATCTTTCTACATAAATTTATGCTTAAATTTTAACTAATGAAAATTAATATTTAAAACTGTGTCGATGAGAAAAAAAGAATGGAACAATCAAGTAGAGAACAATGACTATAGATCGACATGTTTGCTAAAATCAAGTATCCTTTCCATGTACATTGCTCAGGCACTCTTTTAATGTTGATTCTTGTCCTTTTATGACTGTTGACTCTTCTAATAACATTTTTAGGTGACATGAATGATTAATTGCATATTTGCTTTTTTTTATTTATCAAAATCAAACACATTTATATAATATATTTATAAAAAAATAAAAAAATATGGTATTAAATACTATAAATATATATTAAATTAAAAAATTTCCACTTTTTTATATTGATTTGATAGTAAATTTTAAAAATTATTAAAATAAATTTTATAAGATTACCCACGACACTACCCTCTTATTCTATATGCAGTATTGCTTTGGAAATGCTATCGAGGGCTGATATTTTGACAGGCCTAGGCCATTAGACTAGGGGCCCTTTTTCTGCACGAACGGGCTTTTTTGCCAACCAACAGAAAGTAATTTCATTCTGGGGAAAAAAAAAAAAAAAGGAAAAGAAATACGGTGTCCCTGCTGGCGGGAAAAGTAGAAACGAATCGAAACCCACGAGGCAAGCAGAGCAAAGCCGGCTCGTAATTCTAGAAACAAAATAAGGGCATATTAGTTTACATGCAAATTCTTGTACGCCTCTTACTTTTGCACCAAAAATCCCAATCCCTACTTTCCCACCTCAAAATTCAAAACCCTAGCCCCCAATCCGCCACGCACAGAACACTCACTCACTCCCTCACTAACTCACCAGAGCCTCACATCAACATGTCGCATTTCGGCCGATCTGGTCCTCCAGATATCAGAGACACCTTTTCTCTCCTCGTCCTCAACATCACTTTCCGTATTTGTCCTTCCCTCCTCTCTAGTTTTGCTCTTCTCTTTAATTTTTGTATCATGGTGCTAATAATTCTTAAGTTTCTGTTCTTTCACTCTTGCAGGTACCACCGCCGACGATCTTTTCCCTCTCTTCGACAAGTACGGCAAGGTAGTGGATGTATTCATACCCCGCGATCGAAGGTATATAAATAAACCCATGCGTAAATTTTTTTTGTATATAGTGTGCGTAGTAATGATTTTTTATTTTTGGAAGGACTGGAGAATCGAGAGGTTTTGCGTTCGTAAGGTATAAATATGCTGATGAGGCACAAAAGGCAGTTGATAGGCTTGATGGTTAGTATTTTTTTTTCTCATACTCGAATTTTTGGGTTCCATTTTTGTTTTGAGGAAATTTTAGGGTTTATTTTTTCATTTGGATTTTTTTCTGTAGGGAGAGTTGTGGATGGGAGAGAGATTATGGTGCAATTTGCCAAGTATGGGCCCAACGCTGAGCGAATGTGAGTGGTTAAAACCCTTTTGACTCATTTTCAGTTTATATAATGTGGAAGAAAAAAAAATGTTAATTTGGATGCTCGTTTGGTTTATTTTGTGGTTAATATTGAACAAACTAAGCGACTTCTGTCACCTGCAGTTGTGTTGTTGTATTTGGTTGGATTTGTAGTTAGAGAATTGTGTCATGCATCATGGTTGAATTATCTTTGAAGGTATCTACAATTTGGGTTAGGTAATAAATTACTACTGATCCAAACGAGAATTATCTTGCCTGTAACTAGCCGAATGTCCTTAAATGTTACCCTTTAATTTTTTGTTTTCGGGTCTATGTTAGCTGGAAGCTTTCTCATTGTTCTTTTCACCTTCTTTTGAGTATGTTACTCTTTCTATGGGGTACTCTTTACTCTTTTTTTCTGTTTCCTTGTTTTCAAATTTAATTATCTACTTTTGTTTGCTGTGTAATTATTATCTAGCAAGAGATTTTGATTAAAACTGATTGAGAAGTTGCATTTTCTTCTTTAAGTACTTGTTATGTCAGGTTTTTTACATTTTAATTCAGTTATGTTGTTTTTTATTTCAGTCAGAATGGTAGGATAGTGGAATCAACTTCAAAGGTTAAGAGTAGGTCCAGAAGCCGTAGCCCTCGTCCAAGGTGAGAATCTTTCTCTGGTTTGTCCTTATAAGATCAGACTTTATGTTGCATTCTGTTTGTATTGTGGAAGATTTAGGTTTTAAATGAGCATTTAGGAGGGAATACATTCCTTTTGCCAATTGATTCCCCCTTGAAGCTTGTAAATGTGACATGGAGTTATCGCGGTTTTACTACCTGTGGTGTCTCCCCAAATATTTTTCAGGTATCGGGATGGCTACAGGGACAGGGACAGGGATTACAGAAGAAGAAGTCGCAGTAGAAGCAGGGATCGTTACGACCGTGATGGGTATCGAGGTAGGGATAGAGATTATCATCCCCGAAGTGTGAGCCACAGCCCTGATCGTCGCAAAGACCGTGGTAGAGGACATGATGAGGAACGGCATAGTCGGAGCCGGTCTAATGGAAGGTATTATTAGATTATTCTTATTCTTTTCTCATCATCAAAATTGCTTGTAGTTTGTTTATCTGATTACAAACTTGATCCATGTTGATGTATTTTTCCTGCTTGGCTCAGCCCTAATTCTCCAAGGAGCCCTTCTCCACGCAAGGCACATCCTAGGGATGGAAGTCCTAGTGGACGCAATGATAAGAAGAACTCTCCTTCTCCAAAGAGTGTCTCACCTCGCAATGAACCGATTGATTCTTGAGCCTCTCACTGGAAGATCTGATATTGATGTGAGTCCCCTACATTTTGAATTATTAGTTAGTCATCAATAATAAATGAAACCTTAGTATTATGATTTCTTGCTGTGCAGGAATGGTGGGAATTTGGTTTTTGGAGTGGTGTGCTCCTACTTTTGTAAGAGTGACATGCTAGAATTATCTTTTTGATGGACGAAACATTGTATGTCAGATTTAACTTATGCTTTTGAAGGTTACATATTTCTATGTTCAACTTCATGCATTGCTCTCCAAAATTAGGCTTGATGGAAGCTTTTCGTACCTGCTCTCTTTACCTGATGCTGTGTCGGTCTCTCAGGTGTTTCTTGCTCATTTACATGATATTGCTTTCTCATTCCAGCATAGTTGCTTACCATTGCCAAGACTCTACTGCCTGCGGGTGGATTCCTTTCCCTTTTTCTTTTTTTTTTCCCACTGCGATTCTTTGGTTCATTACTTCCCTTAAATGATCTCTATTTCCATTATGATTGTCACACCCAATTCTATAGCTAAATGTTTTAATCAATATGATTTCTTACTGTTCATTTATATTGGCCTTATATAGTGCTTTTTGAGAAGTGTGAATGATGCTGACTGGAAGAGGATGCACCAGCTATCGTTGCTACTCTGCCGTCAATGATTTCATATTAATGCTGGCCAAACTAGTCTCCTAACAATTTTTCTGTGACAATTGTCTTGATTTGGCCTGGTGATGCTGTGCTTTTTACCAAGTACTTTTATGACTTCCCCAACCGATAGTTATGCATGTGCAAGCTGATAAAGAGCTGTCATTAAGTTCTAGATTCGACTTTTCTGCCCAGGCAGCAAGATTGTCAATTCTTTGCTAATTACTGAGCTAAGCTCAAAATTGTCCAACCGTTTTTTCATGTTTTGATTATCATTAAGTGAAGTTAGTCTGGATGAGGCTTTTGTCCTGGAGTGTACTTCTACTGGTGTTTAGTTTCCACAGAAGTGGCTACACTGACAGATTGACTATCAATTTGCCAGCCTTTTTAGTATTCTGGCAAGTTTAAACTGAAGGGAAAATTCAGGGCCAAAAGGATCAATCCAGATCCATATATATATATATATATATATATATATATATCAAAACAGTCGCCATGCAGTATTTTTGGATTGTGTCTCTGTCAAGTACGATTATAACAGCAAACAAGGTTTTTTATCTTGTAATTCTTGAGATTGTGTGTGAACAGTGATGGATCATTAGGATATGCATTATTGAATGATCGGCTCTTGCAGATGCTACATGATGTCATACTCTCTACTGAAGGAAAATACTAATTTTACCGGAAGTTATTTACGTTATCGGGGAATTAAATGTTGGATTTTGTTCTTTTGTTTTTTCTGATAGTGTTTTGGTCAAAATATATGATGTTAGGGACATCTGGAAGATAGAAATTTGATTTTATTGTGTATTAATTCATGTCTTCATGAATGTGAGAAATGCAAGGGGCAGTAGTTTCTAAATATTTAATTTGTTGATTCATGATTCAAGTACAGCCAATGAAACTGTTTCAAAGGAGCTGTAAGGAAGAAATTAAGAGAAGCCAACGGAGCTCCCAATTTGTTGCATGGCAAGCACGACTTTGGAAGCCTAATGCCTGGATCAACGGTCGACTTTGCTACAGCCCTATGGACTATGGTTTCTCGGAAAACTGGTACAAAAGGGGAAAAGCCTCTATCCATTTTCAATAACGCTGTCAGATGTGTTTTTTTTAATCCGAAGATAAAATAGACAACTATTTATCTGTAGCTCGGGATAATACAAATTACCATGGTTTCGAAAGTGCTTCCTTTTCACAGCAGAACCCTGAGATTAAATCTTGGGCGATGAGTTCAGTTCTTTCTATGCACTAAGCATTGGTAATCATAAGCGTGGGACAAATTTTTGGCGCCATTGTATACGTTATGCATCTATACAGGTGGAAAAGAACCCATTATTTTCGTCTGTATGCTCTAGCCAGTGGTGGCACTGCAAGATCTAAAAAAGTAATTGATTTTATTCCATTGATTATATTGTCTTTGTTTACAATTTTCGCATTCTTCATTTCGCAGTCAAGGTCTTCTATAGGGTGCCGTCTTTTTCTTTTCCACGTTGACATTTGACAATTGTAAAGGACGGAAGGACACTTTTGCCAATTCGGGTATGAGAGGAATAGTGGCAAACGCTGGAGAGATTCAATTCAGTGCTGGCCATGTATAAATGCAGGCGAAACCATCATCTGCCATATGCAGAAAAACAAAAACCACAATTGTGTCCAAGATGGATTGGCAAATTTTTTTAACCCACAAGACCGCGAAGAGATGAGATAAACATCTGTGGGACCATAGTTTAAATTTCATCTTTTACAATTGTAAAATAATCCTTTTCCTCCATTTTTACAGTCCACCAGCCGAGCTCATGGATCCGTTTCAACTGACTATCAATTGAAGTTTATATAATCAACATCCGAATGATTGGATCCGATTTCTTTGTCATAAAAGAAAAAAGAAAAGGCAAAAATAAAAACCATGGCAACATTTTCCATGGAGAAGCAAACAACACTTCCCTTGATCCATCCATTTAGTATGTGTGTGATAAAAAGGCTAATAAAGTCTGGAAACTGTATTATTGTTATTTTTTTCCCCCTCATTGTGTACTTGGTTAGGATTATTAATAACTTGCGGATGGTTATAGAACGAATGCAGGATAATAACTTTATGTGCACCAATGATTACTATTTACATGTTGAATTGGGGAAACGGTAATTTCAAAACAAACAGAGATTGTGAGTTAAAAAAATACGGGAACGATGACCTGAAGCTATAGAAATTCAGAAACATTTTTAGTGACTTATCCAAGTCAATTCAAGACTCTCATCATAATGAAAATTGAAACATTAGGCCGGTGAGAGTAGAAGTTGTAATGAAGCGTGTAGCTACTAGCACAAATTCTAACTTTTTTTTTATCAGATGAAGAGCCGTAGCCCTAGACAAAAAGATTAACTAATACAAAAAATAGGAGTGGCGGATTTTTTTTTTTTTCAATCCTTCGTTTGAATGGCAAAGTAGAACATACGAAAAAGCTCATCTGCAATTAAAAACAAAAATGAGGGAAAAAAGTTTTTGACTATGAAATCCGAAAGGATACGGTGAGGTATAGACTAAACCATGCATACCAACACTCCTTTAATATAGGTCATTTTTATTTGCATCTCCTAATTAATTAATTAATTAATTTTAACTTCAAATTTTGAACTATAAACTGCTTTAATTGATATTTCTTCTGTCATATTCATGTGCAATTTAGCCATTAAGTATTACGTACAAGTACAATATAGCAATGTAGTAATCCATGAGTATGGAAAATTAAGATTTCAAAAGGAAAAACTCGTGTGTTAAGATTTTAAAGCAATGTAGCTATTAAATATCTCATGCAAATCATATATTTTTATTAAAAAAAAATAGTGAAAAGTCATCAAAACTGTCTATAGTTCAGGGTGTTTGTATGGATCATTCATGTTCTCCAAGTAGGTGCACAAGCTATAGCAAAGTGGTAATCTGTCCATATGGCAAAATATGATTTTAATAGGAAATGGAAATTCATTTTCTTGTTCTTGCAAGAAAAAAAAATACAAATATAAATTCCATGAAACAGGAAAAAAAAAAAGGGTACATCATAGACAAAGTACCAGTTATTCTTGCATCTTTCGTTCGATTTCACAATCTTAATTTTTTTTTTCTGAAATTTAAATTTAGCATGTGGGATTTCAAAAATTAATCTGCTTTTCTTGTCCATAAATGTTTTTCTTGTGGATAACTATGCCGCAGGTGAATTTGATCTGAACATCCACTTGCTAGCTGGATATAACCACCAATGGAATGGAATGGTGAAATGCATAATATGCATTACCTGGTGCAACGGATAAAACCCCATTAAGGACCAAAGGAGGTTGCTGCTTTCTCACTCAGCAGTTGTGTGCTCAAGTACTCTCCATAAGTTGCGAGCCCATTCAGTAATCTTGTCTCGTGATTTTGAGTCACCAGTGTTTCAATGTTTCTATCGGTGTACACCTCAAGCTCTTTAATGTTTCTATAAGGTGTGAAAAACGTGTGGAAGTTATAACGCAGAGTTGAAACTGCATTGAAGTTATCTGCAGGATTCCACCTTGAACATTTTCCTCTCGCATCGATGACGAAGCAGCGCGTATATTCCAACAAACAGATTGGTGGAAAATTGTGTAATGTCGCGGAAGCTGTGGTTGTTGTGTTTGATTTTATTTTATTTTTACTAAAATAGAAGTATTACTGTTACTTTAATGGGCTACAAGCTTGGCTTTCGTAAATGCGAATTTTTGTTACATCTGATTTGAGCTTTTTTCTCATCATTGACTTCATCACCCTCCACAACAACAATGCCCCATCATTTGCTACTCAAGGATTTGTTGGATGAACGCCTCTTGCCTCCGAGCAGAAAAAGTAGTCAGAGTTGCGAAACTAGCATTTTCATGTACAGATGCCAGTCCTCAGTCTCGTCCCACTATGGAATTTGTTTCAGTAGAGCTATCAAATCAAAGTCATCTTTGCAGATTCACTTGCGCACAATTACAATCGGACAGTTACTTGATCTCGCACATTCAAAATACTGAACATTTCATATTTCCTTTGTGTATTTCTTGATTACCACAGCTTGTAGCTTGTTTCTCCACCTTGCTTTACTGATCAGCTTTAGATGACAAGCTGTGGTGAGAAGAAATGTATCAAGAAACAAGTTAGAAAAATTTATGGACTACGTATAGGTGAATAACATAAACTAGTTTGCACTTGGCACAAAAATTATGTAAGAATTTTCATTTAGTACTGCTTTTGCTTGTTATCTTCAAAATCAGACTCCACTTGTTCCAGAGTGCATCGCATAAAAAGAAAGGAAGAATGAAAAAAATAGCAGATGGTATAATTGTGTAGAAAAAAGTGACTGCCACCAACT